ATAATGACAATCTCAACAAAACAATCGCAACTTCCAAACGACCCCTAAGAATTATTATTTGAAAATAACATGGATTAAGTTTTAAGAGTATGACATGATGAGCAGGAGTAAGGATACTAGGGATTTGCGAGGAGGAAGGATATTGGAGGAGATTGGTGGGATTCGGCGGTGGTTTGAGAGTTTTGACATTGTTTTTGTTGGCAGGAGTAACAATTGGGTGGCTCATGAGGTGGCCAGGAAGACCCTTTCTTTGTTGTCTGTGAGTGTGTAGAGTTTTGATTTCGAACGTTGGTATTTCTTGTGATGTAAACAGTGCTATTCTTTGATTTTGGTTTTGGTAATAAAAGCTATCTATTGTTAAAAAATAAAATAAAAAGAGTATGACATGATGAGCTCTCTTTTGTTTTTAGAATTAAAAGGACGTAAAATGTTCCTCTATGAATGTGTGTCTTTTTTTTTTTTTTTTTTTTGAAAGATTCTGTTAATGTGTCTCACAACGCTTGGTAGATCTTTAATTATTTTTTATCCCAAAAAAATATAATTTCTTATTTCCGTATGAGTATGTATAGAAATCTGATGCATTCGTTTGACGTTTGTCAGACTTAAATTAGTAAATCTGATGTTCACGTAGACTGCTATGTGCTCCTCAGTCCTAAGACAATAAAGGAAGAATAATTTTTGGGTCTTTTGTCATCTCTTAAAGTTTTCCCACCATTGTACTTATTCCCTTTAACCATGATGGTTACTTGCAGATATTTTCTGATTTGAAGGCTCGGATTTTGGCATCACAGGTAACTTACAGACATCTGTAATGCTTTTAGTTTTAGTACTGCTTCTTTTGTCATCCCTTAAAATTTAGTAGCTGATGATGCAAAGGAAGGGAACTTTTTTTTTTTTGTGTGTGTGTGCGCGCGCTTCTGCGGCTCTATAATTTTTACTCAGCTTTGGAATCCTGGCTTATATTGGATTGGGGTATTGAATGGTTTAGCTTCTAACTAGCAAAGTGAGTTTCCCATCCAGGTTGTGTGTGCTTCCCGACAACCTTTAATCATCATACAGTTGTGCTGAGGGGTATTGATATATGAGCTCTTTTGGTAACGAAGATAATGTTGGTATGTGTTTTCTTCTCATGTTGGGCGAACTTTCCATTTGGTAGGGGATACACTTTGTCTTCTTTCTTTTTCGACTTTTGACTTGTCATTATTAGACTACGAGTATTGTTATGTAATTGAGCAGTGTTATATTCCTTATTAGAGTCATAGAAGTTAGGTAATTTCCCTATTAGTGTTAGGGTTATTATAGAAGTCAGTCTCTGTACTCTATATAAACCCATGTTGTTTCGGTAATAACACACAACAGTTTCCACCGTATTCTGATTTTCCAACATGGTATCAGAGCTTGGTTCAAAAACCTAATTGAAAAAACCCTAACCTTCTTTTCTACTCCGCCGCCCACCATGAGTCCACAGTCGCCGGGATGATCATTGTACAGTCGTTGATCCGATCTCTCCCCGTCTCCCCGTAGTTGTTGTCCATGGTAGCTTAGTAGTTTGAAAAGAAAAGAACAACAAGAAACGCCCCGGTCGTCTCTTCTGTTCTTTTTCAGTGTCTTTTCTCAAGCTGTTGCCGCCATGCTCCATATCCGAGTTTCGATGTGAGTCCGCTTTGCTTCACCGTCAGGTCTGCACGACATGCCAGCTCAGCTCCTGTTTATTGGGTATCGACCTAAAATTGGCACCGCCTCAAGCATGAATGGTAATCATGAGTCCGACTTCAAGTTATTTTTTTTTCGGCCGGCTACTGTGAGTATTGAGATTTCATATGGACTTGAGTTAAGCTGGCTTCGCATAATGTTGTGTTATTTCGACAATCTTGGTTATTGTGATTGGGTTACTGATTGAAGTTTATGAGCTTCATTTCCTGGACGTCTAAATATTTGGATTTCAATGGAGATTGTTTTTATACGTTACAATGGTGATTGGTTATGGTGGAGATTGCAAAGGTTTTTCTACTCGAGTAGTTCAAGTTCGCTTCGGTTTGATACAACCATAGGTTTCGTCCCTTTGGTTTCGGTTTGGAGGTGTTGTTCGGAACACCTTTGTTTGATGATGTTGTTCGGAACATCTCTGTTTGATAAATGCTGTTCGGAGCATTTTTGGTTTCGTTTCTGTTTCGATGATGCTATTCGGAGCATCTTGATCGCCATGTTGCTGTTCGGAGCACGTGGTTCTGTTAGTTCGACGGACTAGACGACTTTGGCAAGAACTTTTGTTATCTCCAGCTTATCACCATCGACGTTTCCCGAGGCATTGGACATGGTCTTCATCGACATCAGCATATTGGGCGGAGCAGTTATGTTTTTCATTATTTTTTTTTTCAGTCACATTGTTCGTAGTAATTTGTGTCGTTTTTGTTTCTGTTTTCAAATTGTTGGTAAGTAATTACCATCAATTTGGGGGAGGGTATTAGAGTATGTGTAGTACGAGTAGTATTATGTTATACTACGAGTATTGTTATGTAATTGAGCAGTGTTATATTCCTTATTAGAGTCATAGAAGTTAGGTAATTTCCCTATTAGTGTTAGGGTTATTATAGAAGTCAGTCTCTGTACTCTATATAAATCCATGTTGTTTCAGTAATAACACACAGCAGTTTCCACCGTATTCTGATTTTCCAACAGTCATCAGAATCGTCTTCTTTCCAGATGAAATATGGATCACAAAGCTCAGAATTTGGGAAAAGATAAAAAAAAAAACATTAAGAAAAAGAACTAGCTAGACCACAAAAGCAAACAGAAGACGGCAAAATCAAAAGCACCCTACAACATGCCAACGGAGAAGGGATAAAACCGAGCCAACCGTTTCTTGAAATATCCACTTTCGAGAGAATAATACGCATTTCCAACACTAACAAATGAATTTTCGATCCAAACATGACACGCCATCATTGGACTTGGTTTGTCTAAAAATAAACAACCACACCATAATGATATATATTTTTCATCTTTACCAAAGCTTGGAGCAAATTTATCAACCCTTTGTGCTTATAGAGTGTCAAGTGGGTTCGGATCGGATTAATCGGATTATGAATTAGTTGGGTTACACGTCATTTGGGTTTGGGTTTATTGGGTTACGTGCTAGTCTTGCTACGGGTTCGATTAGAATATGAGTCATTCGGGTTCAAATTTTACCGGGTTACAAGCTCAATTGGATTATGGGTCATTCGTGTTCGGGTTCATTCGGGTTACAGGTGCATTCGAGTTCTGGTTCAATCAGGTTATAGACAAGTGGTATTCGGGTTCATCGGGTTGCGAGTCAAGTTGTTTATGGGTTAATCGGGTTGCAGGTAGTCAGGATATGGTAATTGAGTTGCGGGTTGATGAGTTACAATTCAATCAGATTTTGAGTATTTTGTTATTAGTAGAAGATATTGAACAAAGAATTTTTTTTATATATAATTAATGAATGACAAAATTGATGATAAAGGAAGGAGGGAAAACTAAAAATTGAGAGGTACTTTAGAACAGAGTTCAAGATTCTCCTACATAAAAAATCAAGTTTCATATTTGAAAATACTAAAATTTTAGAACATAAAAAATTCGCAAGCACCAAAATTTCTCTTTTTTCTTCTAAAAAGGTTGAAAACACCAAAACTCCTCCCTCCCCTCTATTTCTTCTTCATAAATTAAAATCATTTAAATTTCCTCTTCTAAAAAAACCCAACACACCAAAAAAACTTCTTACTTTCTCTTCTAAAAAGTAAAAACTGGAAAGTATCATAATTCTCTTTTTTATTTTTCTCCCCAAAAATTGAAAACATCAAAATTGGATTGCATGTTCAGTCGAATTACGATTCAATCGGGTTTTGAATTAATTGTGTTGGGTCAATCGAATTACAGATCAATCGAGTTACGGATCATTAACTTTTAGTTAAATCGAATTGCGAGTCGGGTTTATCGAGCGAGTTAATCGAATCGAATTCTATTTTGAGACCTATCTGTGTACTTCTCTATAGATGTAGATGCTACTTTCAAGCAAGTCTCAATAACAGCCAAAACTACGTCCCCTATCTTCGTCGATTGTTAGTTGTAGATAAGGCTGTTAATGAGTCGAATCGAGCTGAGCATTGCCATAGTTTGGGCTCGGCTGGTTAATATATTTCCAGACTCGAGTTTGGCTCGTGTTCGTCACGAGCTTTAATATGCAAGCTCGAGCTCGGCTCGTTTATGAAAATGAAATCTCGAGCTCGGCTCGTAAAATAAGGTTAACTAGCCCAAAATCGAGCTCAACTCATAAAATGTTCATGATAGCTCAAGATTGACCTAGAACTGCGCACAAAATTACATTCAAACCTGTAGCAAAGTCTAGCAAAGTAAAACACAATATTTATCCCAATTTCAATACATAAAATCCATGAATTCTAATCCATTTTTTTATGCCAACCCATTAAATGAGCTTGTTCGCGAGCTTTCGAGCTGAACATGGTATGGCTCGAGTTCGGCTTGTTTAGTTAACGAGCTTGTTCGCGAGCCGGCTCGATTAAAACAAATCGAGTGTCGAACGAGTTTTTCTCGAGTCGCGTTCATGAGTGGCTTGGTTCATTAACAACCCTAGTTGTAGATATATAGTTTAAGACTCGACCTTTGTTCCGACTAGCTTCTCCCTCCTACTACATCCTGGAATGATGAACAGTTGAGCTAGCTAGGTACATTACGACATTGCCAATGGATTCGACAAGCGGGTCGTCGTCCTTCCCTTCGCCATTTACTTGGGCACGAAACGATCGATACAGAATACACCAAACACAGACAGCCACGGCCGAAATTAAAAGCACTACTACTACTGACCGGGCCGGGGAACATGCAACAATAATACAATTATAGCAGAAGAACAGTTGCGTACGTACTTTGGGGGGGGAAAAAGGACTCTGCTAACGTTATGCAATAATAGAAGTGATGGGACCAAAAACACTTCCATAGTACCGACAAGTAATAATAACACTCTACTTGTCCTTGAAGAAGTCGTGGATGTGGTTGGTGACCTCCTGGGGGCTCTCCTCGTTGAGGAAGTGACCTACGCCCTTGAGCACCACGACGTCTTCCAGGAGAGGAACGTCCTGCTTCATGGCGCCACTAAGGAGGTAGTCCTTCATCCTTGGGAAGTTCAACGTCAGGTCCAGCTCCCCGACCATGAACTTGGTCGCCACATTCACCTTCGCCCCTGTCCACGGCCCCATCAACTCCCAAGATCTGCATTAACATCATTCTCAAAACAAAGCGACAACGTACAGACAGACAAAATCCACACGTATTTCTTCTTGTTCAACTACGTACAGGTCAATGGATCGGTAGTAGTTCAATGCACCGGTGAAGCCGGTCTTGTCGAATTTGGCGGCGGCGTAGTCGATGTCTTCCTGGGTGAGCCAGGGTGGCAGGGCTGGAGGGTCGGGGATGGCGCTGAAACCAACGTGTTTGGGGAAGCACGGTGGCTTTGGGCTCCTGGACGTCAGTATTTTGGCCAGTAGCTTCCCTGTTTCCACCTTGGCGAAGTCAGCTTCCGCTTCCCCGACTTCCTGTTCACGATCCGATCCAATTCACATTAATTAATTTATTTATTTATTTATTACAGTACAAACACGATCCACCATTTATGACTCAAGTACAATAATAATAAAACCAGCTAGAGCTAGGAGCATTTAGTATATCTACCTAGTACCGTCCACCAGATCTCTTTTTAAACTGCCTTTATAGTTTATATATTTCCCATATACCTAAATAATACTAAAAATTTACCGGGACAAACATAAACAAAGTAACTAGCGCGTTGTGGGTATTAATAAAAATCCGTCGGGTATATATATTTTTTTTTATGAATGGGATTAGGACGATCTATAGATGTATGGCTTTTAAAGAAAAAACATTTGATATATTAATTTTTCATTAAAAAATTAAGAAGCACGTGATAAATGAAGTTAAATTATTTGAAAAATGAAATATTTACCTAATTATAACTTTAATATAGTTAAAATACGACGCGTTTAAGTAAATTTAATTTTTGTTTCCTATGTTAAAATACGACGCGTTTAATATTTACAATGCGTTGACTAACGATCAATGCGCCACGTCATTGCCAAGTCAGAAGATCTGATAAATATTTAATTTTTTCATTTTTTATTTTTGGTTTAACTAAGTATCAGATGATTTTTTTAATTTATAATAATTTAAAAATAGGAAATGTGTGGAAATTATGAATTATTTTAAATATTTTGTGCTAACTTGGCAGTGACATGGTGCGTTGACTAACGGTCAACGCGTTTGACCGTCCAAGATAACGGTCAAAAGTCGGATCTGGTCAAATTGTTTATTTTGGTGTATAGTTCGGGCCAGGATGTTATAGATCGAAAAGATTGGCCAGGATTTTTATTTTGGTCAAAGTTCAGGCCATACGAAAATATTAACCCGGAAAGGAAATACCCATACACATCCTATTTTGTCTAAAGGACGGCTACTAGCTAATACCCCTCCAAAACAAAATCAGCTTTGATAAAACAAAAGAAACCGATCAAAAAAGAGTCTATCCTACCAATAATTCATCGAGTTGATTATAACTAGGCACGTACATCACGCAATAATTATTATATTGGAATTTGGAACAAGAAAGGGATAGGAGGACCAAATGCGATGTATCGATAAAAAAAGGTCACGAAAAGAGATTCCCAAAATCATAGAAAATCTCATCTTTCCGGCGTTTTCCGAGAACCAAAAAAAAAGTGAAGAACATAAAAAAAAAAAAAAAGATTAATAAGAATACAAATTAATTTATGACCCACCTGGAACCTGCACATGTAGAAGTCGTCGCCGAACGCGGCCCGGAGCCCGGCGAGCAGCGACGCCTTGGGGTTGCGAGGCGAGAACGGGACGCTGGTGTTGACCAGCGCTTTGACCCGGTCGGGCCGGAACAGGCACAGGTGCCAGGCGATGATGGCCCCCCAGTCGTGGCCCACTAAGAAGACTTGTTGGATCCCCAGCGCGTCCAGCAGGCCCACCAGATCTCCCACGATGTGGAGCGAGCTGTACTGGGCCGCCGGAGCAGGGCAGTCGGTGTCGCCGTAGCCGCGGAGGTCCGGCGCGATGCAGCGGTAGCCGAGGGAGGAGAGGGACAGCAGCTGGTGGCGCCAGGAGTACCACAGCTCCGGGAAGCCGTGGAGGAAAAGGATGGCGCGTGGGCCGGCGCCGATTGAGGCCACGTGCATGTTTATTCCGTTGGTCGGCACCGTTGTGTGCTCTATCTTCTCCATAGCTGATCGGTCGCTGTCTTTTTTCGCTCCTTCTCCTCCTTGGTTTCCCCTCTCCTTGGATATATAGACAGAAATGTATGACGTCATTCGCATGGATCTTTCTCAGCGGGCAGCGGCTAGCTAGATCGGATCTGCAGGCAAAAGAAAGTAGTTGGGCCAGTTAGCCTAAAACAAACAAATGGAAAAGCCCATGCTGTACCTGGGCTTTCTTCCTAACTAATAACTATGTAACGAAATTAGACTTTTTATTCAAGCTGCTTTGAGAATGGCGTCGCTTTAAATATTGGAGAGAGATAATAATTTTATGGTTTAAGATCATAAATACGTCACATGTAGGATTGCAACTTGCTAATAATTAAAGCAATATGACCAAGGGATTCATTTAGGAGAGACCCAATCAGATCCTGACTGTATATTTTATTCACATGCTTTCTCAAAATAAAAATTAGTTCATCAGTTTAAATTTTTTATATATATCCATGGATCATGATGTCTTGTACTATAGTCATATAGTCAATATTGATAGTAATGAAGATCAAAACACGAGAGGATAGAAACCATGTTCATATTAACTATTAGTATATAAATATGACAAGTTTTATATTACGGATTTGGAAAAATAGGATAGGGTGCATCGTAGAATTTCATGCATTCATGCATATTTTCCCGCCCATTAATTTCTTCATTCTGGAATTTCTTTTATGTTAAACACTCAAGGATCATGATGGAGGTTGGGCAAGTCTTACTTAGCCTAGACCATCTACAATAGCACTAGTATTATATAAATTCTAAAAAGTACGGCACAATAGAGTGCTAGAAGTTCCAAAATGCTAACAAGGTAAAATAGTGGGGCCAAATTTAGCCATCAAGAGGACAAGAAAAAAAAGCTAGACTTGAGGGACCCTACTTAATCAACACTGGTGATGCGTCGCAGGGGGATTTGCATTACACGTACGGGACGGAGCCAACTTCGCCTGCCCATGTGGTGCAACCCCGCTAGGAGTAGAGGAGCGGCCAGAGCCGCGACCGGATGCACCACCACGGCGACCGCGATAGGAATCGCATCCGCGTTGAGTAGAGAAGGCGGTGACTGTAAAACACCTTTGAATGCAATCTGACGAACTTTTATTGATGAGGAGAAGAACTATTAAATACTAAAAGTTCAGCCACAAGAATCGGCTGTGAAGCAAACTACTCTCCTACAAATCTGCAACTATCTTAACCAAATGCAGCAACAAATCAGCACTTGGTTGCTTGATCAGTTGAGTGCAACGGACACTGACCAAGCAGACACAACAAATAAAAAATAGGGACTTAAACAAAACAAACCAAAACGACACAGCACAATCCTGCTTTAAGACCGGATACCCCAAACGACGTAGTATCACTTAATTCACAGCCCTGCTCCAATCCTTCTCCGCACAGGATTCGGATTCCTTCTTCTTCTAGCTTTCAAACCGAGTCCAACATTATCCTCCCCTGAACTAAAGCCCCTCTGCAATCTGGCTTTAGTTCATCATTCATGTTCTTCGTGCTTCCAGACACATCACACACACCAAGCTCTTCCCTCAACCTGCAGAATGCCTCCAAAGACAGACCCTTTGTCATTATATCAGCCACTTGTTCCTTGGTGCCACAATATCTAAGCTCCACAACTTCATCTTTGACTAGTTCCTTTAAGAAGTGGAATCTGACATCGATGTGTTTACTTCTTCCATGGAGAACAGGGTTCTTGGACAGCTTGATAGTAGAGCTGTTATCACACATGATGACAGTTCCTTTCTCCACACTTGTCTTCCATCCAATGTCAGCAAGGATTCGTCTCAGCCATACTCCTTGAGCAGCACAGTATGCAGCAGCCACAAATTCAGCTTCAGTGGTAGACAGAGTAACAACAGGCTGCTTTTTGGAAGCCCAGGATACTGCCCCTCCTGCAAGAAAGTAAATGTACCCACTAGTGCTTTTCCTATCATCAGAGTCTCCTGCATAATCACTGTCTGTAAAACCCATCAGACAGTCTTCTCCACTTCCTTGTTTGTACCAGATGCCATAGCCTTGAGTTCCTTTCAAGTACCTTAGAACCCTTTTAGCTGCTAGTAAATGTTGCTTCGTGGGAGCCTCCATGTACCTGCTCAAAGAACACACAGCAAACATCAGATCTGGTCTGGTTGCTGTGATGTACAGCAAACTGCCAATGAGTTGTTTATACTCAGTGGCATTCACCAAACAACCATCCCCTGCTTTAGTTAGCCTTGTTCCAGCAGCAATAGGATTATGCACAAAATTGCACTCAGCCAGATTGAATCTCTTCAAGATCTCCTTTGCATACTTCTGCTGGCAAATGAAAATGCCAGCTTTTCTCTGCATCACTTCTACTCCCAAGAAATACTTCATCTTCCCCAGGTCAGTCATTTCAAATTCAGCCTCCATTGACCTTCTGAACTCCTCTACCATTTCAGTGCTTGTTCCAGTGTACAGCACATCATCTACATAAATGCTGACAAGCAGTGATCCTTTTGCAGTTGTCTTGATGAACAATGTGGCTTCATGCTGACTTTTCTCAAAACCAGATGCTAGAAAATGAGTTTCAATGCGACTGTACCAGGCCCTGGGTGCTTGTTTTAAGCCATACAGTGCCTTCTTGAGTTTGTAGACCTTAGATTCCTCCCCAGCAACCACAAACCCTTGTGGTTGCTCAACATACACATCTTCAGTGAGCTCCCCGTTTAGAAATGCACTCTTAACATCTAACTGCCAGACTGTAAGTCCATGATGTGCAGCAAATGCTAAAAGACATCTAATGGTATCCCACCGAGCCACAGGTGCAAAAACCTCATTGTAATCCACTCCAAATCTTTGAGCATACCCTTTAACCACTAACCTTGCTTTGTGTTTATCCAAAGAACCTGTTTCAGTAAACTTGGTTTTATATATCCATTTCAAACCAATGGGAATAACACCTTTTGGGAGTTCTGTCAGTTCCCAGGTCTGGTTTTTCTCAATGCTGTGCATCTCCAGCTTCATTGCTTCATTCCAGATGTCATCCTTGATTGCATCCTCAAAGGTTTGAGGATCTTCTGCTGTGGCAGCCATTGCTAGCCACTCTGATTGTACTTCTTCCACACTGTTACAGTCATAGATGGCCAGATGACTTGGAGGTTTTCTGGATCTGGGACCTAGATCAGTGCTCCTAGGTAGTCCCAGCACATCTGTAGAAGTATTTCCATCCTCTTCTTCATTGGTATTTGTCCCAACTGGTGTAGCAGGACTTTCAGGACTTGGTGGTTCTTCTGTTGCTTCTTCTGTAAGAACTGGGGTGTCCAAAATTTGAGGACCTTCTTCTCCATCTGAATCAACAAAAGGATCTTCACTCCCTTCCCAAACCAGACTTGCCTGAGTTGATGGATTGTCAGATTTCCACTTCCAACCTTTGCTTTCATCGAATACCACATCCCTGCTTATCACAACCTTCCTGGTTTCTGGATCATAGAGCCTGTAAGCCTTGGATTCTTTGGAGATTCCCAGAAACTGGCATTGAGTACTCTTGTTGTCCAACTTCTTCCTTAGCTTATCAGGCACATGTGCATATGCCACACAGCCAAAAACTTTGAAGTAAGATACTGAGGGAGCTGCACCAGACCATAGCTCATGGGGAGTCTTTCCTTGGTTTGCCACTGTAGGACTTCTATTCAGGACATGAGTGGTCCAGTTTACTGCTTCTGGCCAAAAACCTGTAGGTACTTCAGTATCTTTTAACATGCATCTCACCATGTTCATAACCGTTCTATTTTTCCTTTCAGCCACTCCATTCTGCTGAGGTGTGAGAGCAGCAGTGAGCTGCCTTTTGATTCCAGTTTCAACACATAATGATTGAAACTCACTGAGCAGAAATTCACCACCCCTGTCTGTCCTAAGACACTTAATAGATAGACCAGTTTCTTTCTCTACATTAACCTTGAACCTTTTGAACCATTCAAGTGCCTCAGATTTAGCAGCAAGATGAAAAACCCACAGCTTCCTACTGTAATCATCAATGAGGGTGAATATGTACCTCTTACCACCATTTGAGGTTGGGGTGATAGGACCACACAGGTCTGCATGAACCAGCTGCAATTTTTGAGTTGCCCTCCATTGACTGTGCTTTGGGAAGGCATGTCTGGTTTGCTTGCCAACTTGACAGGTAGCACAGACTCCAACAGCTCCTTTTAAGTCTGGTAAGCCTGAAACCAGGCCTTTCTTCTTTACTTGCAGCAACCCTTCTGGACTTAGGTGACCAAATCTCCTGTGCCAGAGACTTAGAGACGATTCCTTGGTGTTATCAGCTTGTGTCCAGTGAGCTTCAACTCTGTTAGACTCATCTTTGAGCACAAACATTCTGTTTGCTCTCATACTGGTTTCTAGCAAGAAACCCTTATTTTCTTGGAAAATTTTGCATACATTTCTTTTGACCAGAAACTCCAGTCCCTTCTCTTGTAATTGTCCCATGCTGAGCAAGTTTGTTGTTAACCCTGGGACATAGAACACATCACTAATCTGTAGTGAAACTCCTCCCAGTTGCAGTCTCACCTTCCCTTTGCCAGCAACCTCCAGTTTGCTATCATTTCCCAGCCTCACTTTTCCTGTGACCTTAGTATCCAGATCACCAAACCACCTCTTATCTCCACTCATGTGATTACTACAACCAGAGTCTAGGAACCACCAATTCTCCATGCCTTCCATCTTAGAGTCATCCAGAAAAGCCATTAACAGTACATCATCAGGCAGTTCAGTAGAGGGATTTGAATTACTGCTGTGACCAGAATAATAAGCCTGCTGACTAGTGTACCATTCAGGACACTCACTTCGATAATGGCCCATCTTATGGCACTTAAAACATTCAATATGTTCTTTATTCCAGCCTCTTCCTCCCCTACCTCTGCCCTTGGGAGAAAAACTGCCTCTTCCTGCTCCTCTACCTCCTCTTCCTCCAACTTCATAAGTCATTTTCAGGACCTGTTCATCCTCAACCAGAGACTTCTTATGAAATTTCTGTTCATGCACAAGTAGGGAACTCTGCAGAGCATCCACAGAGAGAGTTTCTATGTCTTTGGACTCTTCGATGGAACACACAACATAGTTAAACTTCTCTGTCAATGTTCTTAAGATTTTCTCAACTATCTTAACATCGGGCATATCTTCACCACAATTCCTCATATCATTTGCCACCACCATTACTCTATTGAAGTAAGCAGTAATGGTCTCACCTTCTTTCATCTCAAGAACTTCAAAGGTTCTTCTCAATCCCTGCAACTGAGCCTTCTGAACACGAGCATTGCCCTGGTACTTAGTCTTCATAGCATCCCACAGCTGCTTTGCAGTGGCCTTATTCGTGATGGTCTTCAAAATTGACTTATCAATGGAACTGAACAGGTAATTTTTGGCTTTAAGATCCTTGAGCCTGCGATCATCAAGACTTTTGGATTCACCAGCAGTCAGTTGAGTTCCAGGAGTTGGTTCCTGAATCCCTTCACTCACCACTTCCCAATACTCCTTAGATCGCAGCAGATTTTCCATCAAAAGGCTCCAGTGATCATAATCGCCATCGAACTTTGGCAAACCAACCTGTGCAAAACCAGCATTATCACTCATATTTGCTATGACAGACCCTCTCACCCTGAAACAATTTCCTCACAATAATACCCTCGTGTTTCCCAAACCCAGATCTTGCAGAACACTCAAATTTCACTCTTGAACAGACACTCAGAAAGCTTGAAAGCCTTTCAACACTCAATGGTTACAGCTTGCAAAAGTGCTCTGATACCAAATGTAAAACACCTTTGAATGCAATCTGACGAACTTTTATTGATGAGGAGAAGAACTATTAAATACTAAAAGTTCAGCCACAAGAATCGGCTGTGAAGCAAACTACTCTCCTACAAATCTGCAACTATCTTAACCAAATGCAGCAACAAATCAGCACTTGGTTGCTTGATCAGTTGAGTGCAACGGACACTGACCAAGCAGACACAACAAATAAAAAATAGGGACTTAAACAAAACAAACCAAAACGACACAGCACAATCCTGCTTTAAGACCGGATACCCCAAACGACGTAGTATCACTTAATTCACAGCCCTGCTCCAATCCTTCTCCGCACAGGATTCGGATTCCTTCTTCTTCTAGCTTTCAAACCGAGTCCAACAGTGACATACGGCGACGAGCAGTAAGATCAGCTTCCAGAGACAGCAGACGATCGAAGAGGTCTTCAAGGGTTGGCGGGTTTTCACGAGCTCGAATGCCAGCAGAGAACTTGGCATAATCATCACCGAGGCCACGAAGAACCAGCAAGGGCCATCTCAGAAGCAGTAGTACGAAGGGATTGAACAAAGGTAGTAACCAAGCGATCACCTTTCTTCTCAGCAAGTAGTCGATCGCGTAACGTCATGACGCGAGACCGGGAGTTGCTGGCATACATGCGAAGTAGGGAGGCCCAGGCCTCGGCAGCAGTAGAGGAAGAACTTATGAACGATAAAACAGCTTCGGAGACCGAAGCAAAAATCCCGTTGAGAAGGAGCTGATCTTGACGAAACCAGTGAGTGTAGGCCGGGTTCCGACTTGAAGCTCCATTCTCGAGAACGGTCTCAGCAAGAGGTACAATAGTACCGTCGACATAGCCTATGAGATCGATGCCATGGAGAAGGGAGAGGATTTGTGCTCTCCAGGACGGGAAGTTCGCTGCGGTGAGCTTGAGAGGAAGGGAGGCCGATAGGTTGAAAGTAACCAGCGCTGGCTCCGCTCAAGAAGACGCCGGCGTACTACCGGAGGTAACAGATCTGGTGGACATGGTGGCGGCACGAAGAGACAGGGATCGACGGTGAGATTAGGGTTAGGGCTCAAAGATGTTGTTAGGCAAGAGGCTCTGATACCATGTAAGGTTATCAACCGTGAGAATTATCATTGATGCAAGGGTATATTTATACCCATAAGATTATAGTTTACAAGTGTGAGTAGGAGACTAATTACAAGAGGAATAATGAGTACAAATCCTAACATTATACGGACAAAGTCTTGTCCCTAATAGTAGGGACACTAAGTCAAGTAACAGAAGCAGAAGCGCAAGGCGTACAAGTGAGGACGGGCGGGACAATGGATAGACTAGACCTTAATTGGCGCCGGAAGCGTAATATAGGTAAAGTAAGCCTGACAAGACAGCAACAATGCTAATCATATCAACCCTGATATAACATTAAATGCAACCGCAAGCATAACCTCGGGGGAGTACTTTCCAGTACATGCATGGCAGAGCATTAAATGCTCGTACGAAAAACTATTGCCTATAAATACCACTCAACCACATCATTTACCGGTAACGGAACTATCCTTTCTCTCTCTACTTTCTTTCTCTAAATATGTTCTAACTTGCTCTTTGGAGAGTGTTCGAGGCCCCCACCTCCGGACCTTTGTTTGCAGGGTCAGCATCACTGTCACGCATCGATGGGAGGCAAGATTTTTGCGAAAGTGGCCACCTAATACGCCTGGTACCTTCCAAGCTTAAACATTTCCCTTTCAAAATTACTAGAGAAACTGGTGGAAATAGAGAATTAGAGATTGACACACAAGTGATACTTAAGGCGAATCCAACAGAATTGGACGATGAGTAACTAACAATGAAACAAGGATTAAAGTGAGTAACTAATAAGGAAGGGAAATTTTGGCTTTCATTAAAAAATTTGAGAAACTAAGTGACTTAACATATAATTGTATCAACTATGTGATTTTCGGACCTGGCTTCGATCCAGGGTGTAACTATCTATATTTTGGTATCAATATATGATTATCTTTTGTCAAAAAAAAAACATATAATTGTATCTTTTTTATAACTTGAGTGTGGATATAAAACCAAATACGTAATATTATATTATTTTCTTTCACAACTGCTCAACAGAACAATCCACTTATAAAGCCTTAAAACTTGCAATGATCGATCGTACACCTTAATTATACTTAAATAAAAAACACAGCAACCTATTAGTCGGCCAACTCATTTAGGGTTCGTTTGGTTTTGGTGATTGTTTGGTTGGTATTAGGACTGATTATTTGGTCCGGGCTTTTTGGTTTTACCCAAAACCGAACCATATAATCCGAACCGAAACTGGATAGTAAACAATCCAATCCAATTTTTGGGCTTAGATTTGAGATAAAAGAAACAATTTGGGACCGGATAAAAAACTGGATAAAGACCGGATAAGAGAGTTCAACACCCAAAATTTAAGAGTAATTAGCATAAACGGTCACAAACATTTGCACTTAGTACAAAACTTAACCAACTCCTCACCCTTTCAGGCCTTAGGCTACTCAAATCCCCACAAGCTCAATATAAAATCAAGACCGAATTGGGACCGGACCGGATCAAGACTGGACTGTATCCCATCCAATCTTTGGTCCTTATATTTTCGAAAAGACTGGACTGGACCGGATCAATTTGGGCCAATTTAACCGGACCGGACAGTATAGCCACCTCTAGTTGGGATAGTTACAATGCATGCATTGTGGATAATGCATGCATTGTTTTTCTGAATTTCTGCACAAACTATATATGCATTGTTTGCTTGATGTGATGGAAACTATCACTCAAAATGTGAGATTGTTGAGATTGTTTGTTTGGGATTGTTGGAGTGTTTTCTTCTTCCAATTATGTCCCTACCTTTTCATGTGTTTTGCTTTTTTATATTAAAAACAAAAGGTAAAGGTGACATTTCAACAGAAAGCAATATATTTTATTTTATTTTATTTAAATATTAGAATAACGATCACAGAAACCAAACAATGTAAACTACAATGCATTAATTTACTTATATGCATGTATATTATTATGCATGCATCTATTTAACTATCACCAAAACCAAACGAAGAGGAAGTTAACAATATTGTATAGTGAACAGAAAGATGGCGCAATTTTATGCATTTTATTGGAGCAGTGAGCGATGGAATTAAAACTGGCTGAAGAAGTCGAAAATGTGTTTCGTAACTTCCTCAGGGCTCTCCTCGTTGAGAAAGTGACCCACGCCCTTCAAGACCACTATTTCCTCCAACAACGGCACTTCCTCCTTGAACCTGCCTCCCTCAATGTACTCCTCCGTTCCGGGGAACTTCAACGTCAGGTCCAGCTCCCCGGCGATGAACTTCACCGGCACCATCACTTTCGCCCCCGTCCACGGGCCCATCATCTCCCAAGTCCTGCAACCCACCCCCGGCCCGGCCCATAATAATTAATAAAAAAAATTAATTCGACACAATTAATTAAATATTCATTTATATACTATACACATACAGGTCAATGGACCGGTAGTAGTTCAATCCCCCGGTGAAGCCGGTCTTTTCAAACTTGGCCGCATAGTACCCAACGTCCTCTTGCGACAGCCAGGAGGGGAACGCGGGCGGATCCGGGAGGCCCGCGAACCCGGTTTCCCTCGGTATACGAGGCGGGTTCGGGTCGCGGTGCCCGAGAAATTTGGTCATGACAATTTTCGTGTCCATCGCCGCGAACTCGGCTTCCATCACTCCAACTTCTTGGAACCTGCACATATAGAAGTCGTCGCCCAGCACGGCCCGCGCTGCGGTCATGGGCGACACGTGGGACGAGGCCCTTGACCGGAAGGGGACGCTGGTGTTGACCAGGGCCTTCACTCTGTCGGGCCGGAACAGGGAGAGGTGCCACGCGATCGTGGCGCCCCAGTCGTGGCCCACTAAGAAGACCTGCTGGATCTCCAGCGCGTCAAGCAGGCCCACGAGGTCCCCGACGACGTGGAACGAGGTGTACTGGGCCGCCGGGGATGGGGAGTCGGTGTCGCCGTACCCGCGGAGGTCCGGGGCGATGCAGCGGTAGCCGAGGGAGGAGAGGGAGAGGAGCTGGTGCCGCCACGTGTACCACAGCTCCGGGAAGCCGTGGAGGAATAGGATGGCGCGTGGGCCGGTGCCGATGGAGGCCACGTGCATGTTGATCCCGTTGGTGGGGACGGTTGTGTGCTCAATCTTCTCCATTGGTTGTTGAATTTTGAATTTTTGATTGATGATCTGATCCTTCTCTATTACGCTCGATACATATATTTATATATTGGGAAACCAAACCAGTGCTTGTTTTGTCAACTTAGCAAACTCCGCCGGCCGGCCGGCTGGCTGGCTTGTTTCTTGTGTTAACCAAGACCCACTAATTGACATTTGGGAAAGGTAGAAAAGTGTGCATTCTTATTGTATACATAAGACGGAAATGTTCTTAAATTTTGCCGCCTCGTTTTTTGCTAGCTATCGACTATTTGAACCATGTGTAATGCGATGTAAAAAAACATGTGTAAGGTTATTAAACTAGAGGGATCGGATAGGGTGCTAATTAGGGATGTCAATGGGGCGGGTTCGTCTAAACTATTTTCATCCCCGTTTCAAATATTCAAATTCATACCCGTCCTATACCCAGTCAGAGAAGGTTTTGCAAACTCATCCCCATATATACCCGTAGGTTTCGGGTACCCATGGGTAATACTCGCCTCGTACATCCAACATTATAATATCTAAAACTTTACATGTAAATTTGCAATTATAACCCTAAACACACCTACTTTATCATGAAGTTGACAAAGAGACAATCATTCTTAACACGGTTCAAAGCATCTTATCCTAAAACATCCATTAATCTATAATATTGATTACAATGTAATCCAAATAATTATTCTCTTACTCTGATACATCTACTAAATAATAACTAACTAACATAATCTAGTTAACACGAGGGAGAAAGCGAAAGAGTGAAGGGAGAGTTGAGGAAAATGAATTATGTTTTGATTTGGGTGGCCACTCAATCGCATTTCTACTATTTATTTTCTTGAGTTACCCTCACTATTATTGATAGGTTAGAATTAAATCAAAGTATTTTATATGTGAATAAATGTCTTTGATGGGGCGGGTATGGGTATGAGTATGGGGCGGAGGAGGCGAAAACCATACCCACTCCATACCCATCAAACGTTTTGCGAATTTTACCCATACCCAATTAATTTGGGAATTGCCCGCATTGTCTAGATCGAGGGAAATATGGTACTCGCGTTCATTGATTTGATTGACATCCCTAATACTAACATTTGAAGTGTTAGTAGCACCATGCTAATATAAATTATTAAAGGTAGCATTCGTTATCATTTCAGTCAAAATAGGAGTCACTTCCCCCTCCCACATTTTAGTCCAAACTGATTCATTTGCCTCGTCGTGATGACATCAACAATCAACCTCCCACGCCTCTATGCCTCAGGCCGCAATTGAAATCTTCAATTATATTGGATTCCCTAACTCCGTCCCATTCTCTCTACTTTCACTCGACATTAAATCACGCTTCGTCGTGACTCACGACCTAAAACCTCCATTTTGTCGTCGATGCTGCTCCACCGCGCCAATGATTCCTTCGTCAAACTCCTATGAGTTTTATGGTCTACTTTCTACATTTCTTAGTATAGTTTATGAGTTTTATGGTGTGGTTCGTTATGTTTCTGGTCTTATCTGAGTTTTGTGTTAAACTTCATGATACTTGTGATTAACTATAGGAGTTTTCTAGTCGGAAACTTCTGGTAAACTGTCTAAATTTTTTTATATAATTTGTGAGATTTATAGTGTGATGAGCTTTGTACTATTCATGGTGTGCTTTCTACAATTTTTGTCTGTTTTATGAGGTTTCTAGTCTACTTTATGAGTTTTGTGTGTGGTATGTCGTGTTTCTAGTCGGATATGTTTCATGCTACTTATGGTCATGTTTATCCATTTTTTAGTATGCTTCAGGAAACTTGTGGCTAGCTTTATGAGGTTTCTTGTCTACTTTATGAGTTTTACAATGCGATGAGCTTTGTACTATATGTGGTGTGCTTTTTACATTTTTTGGTATGCTTTATGAGGTTTCTAGTTTATTTATGAGTTTTGTGGTGTAGCTTGTCGTATTCAGGTGTGATCTGAGTTTTCTGGAATGTTTTATGAATTATGATAATTGTGGTATGTTTTATGAGTTTTTTAGTTTTCTTCGAGAAACTTTTGGTCAGCTTTATTAGGTTGTTGGTCTACTTTATGAGTTTTATGGTGGGATGAGTTTTGTACATGGTCTGCTCTATTTTCTGGTATGCTTTATGAGGTTTCTATTATATTTTATGAGTTTTATGGTGTGATCCGTCGTGCTTCTAGTTTGGTCAGAGTTTTCTAGTATGTTTCATGATACTTGTGGGCAACTTTATGAGTTTTCTAGTTTTCTCCAAGAAACTTGTGGTCAACATCTGCGATATGGAAAGAAAACAGTATATGGTGCGATTTCAACTACCGACACACGAAGACGCTCTATGTTGATTGTTGGTGTGATCTCCACCACCGTTGTCGCTCTACTCCTCTCCAACTATCGCCCAGATCTCCAACAACAACTTGGGTTGGGATGCAACACTTGTGAACAAGAACTCAAATTAGAGATGCTACAACTATGAACTTAAGCTTGGGCTAGGGATATGGTTAGTTAACTTTCCAAAATGACAAGCATGCCCCTCACTCTAAAATCAACATCAAATTGTGGTTTTTTTTATCCAAGATAAGCCCCAGGGCATGACCGGACAACACAATTACAAGAAAGACAATAATAAAGAACGGTAGTCCATAACCGTATGCAACCGGACTCCCGATAAAAGAGCCTGTTTTGCCACGAGGTGGGCAGCTCTATTGAAGCTATGAGGAGCAAAAAGACATGAGACAGACAGGAAGGAGAGAAAGAGAGAGTGAACTTCCTCTAGAATGGCTCCCGCTCTTGAATGCGAAGCCAGCCTTGATGTCCCCATAATAATTTCCTAAGTGTCACTTACTTGGATGTCGCGTCACTTCATCAATGGTCATACAAAGGTTGACCAGTGTTAGGGCATCTATTAATTCTAACGGTTAATAGAAATCGCGTAACACAAATGACGCAGACCCCTAATTGTAGGATTGAGAAACGGTGCAGTCGTATCCAGACCAGACCATATGTACGGTCTACGGTCCAGACCGAGAGGTTAGAGTATAGGCCACAGACCAGACACAGACTATACGGTCCAGACCACGTCTGCACGGTCTGGTCTAGATAAACCACACCGAATGAAAAATGAACAATTTGATTAGTCAACCACACAAAAAATTGAACCAATAGCCAAGAAAAATTATATTTTTTTGCCTTAAAACATAAATTCCAACATGCATGGATAATTTTGACACCATTAACTCGGTAAATAACAAAGATACAAAGTCAAAGCATCATGACTTTCACTATAACGTCATAAACATTAATATAATGTCATATGGAGACACAACCGTCTTTAGTCTCTAGTGAAATGTGGTTGTGAATGAAGGAGGGGACGAGATTATCAAAATTAAAATTATGACTTGGGTAATGTTGCGGGAGTTGGGAAAGTGGTTGAGTGGGATGCTAACACATAATGAGAAGTCAGTTGGGTCCACGGTTTGGTCTGGTAAACCGCGGTCTAGACCAGACCAATAGATCAAAACACCATATAATGCAGACCATGGACCAGACCAGACCAAACTTAACGGTCTACGATCCGGACCAAACTGTGCGATACGATTTGGACCATGTTTTTTCATACAGTTATGTCTTTTTTCCCAGCCCTACCTAATTGCATAGAATATTAGGGTGCGTTTTGATAGGTATACAATACATGTATTTAAATGCATGTATTTTAAACACTAGCATTTGAAATACATGTAACTCAAGTTCGTTGTTTTGATACTCAAATGTAATTTGTTTGTATTTCAGATTTTTTATTTATTTTAATTCTGAATTTTTTGGTAACTTACTACAAATTTTGGTATCCAAAATTAATTTTTTTCTTACAATTTAGTACCTAAACTTTTTAATTTTTACAAAACGATCCAAAATTTTTGTTGATAAAATTACGTTTCGATACCTTTATATATTTGTTGTCACACTATAGTACCTAAACTTTTAAATTGTTACATATAGGTCCAATTTTTTGCAAGGAGGAATTTCAAATCACTAGTTGTTGAAATGTATTTGAAGTTGACAAGTAATACACTAGAGATGTATTTGGAAATCACCCCATGAATTTGACACAAATCCAAATACTAAATGTAATTAATATCCAAACAAATAATTTGACGTTTAGATATCCAAATCACAAATACTAAATCCAAATTCTTCTATCCAAACACACCCTTATTGTATTTATTCAAGTTATGTAATATAAATGAAACTTTCCTTAAAGGTGGTATTTCTGGTATTTCTAGTGTATTAGCTCTATATATATTAATATAAAGGGCGAGATGGTAAATAAAGAAAAAGTGGGCAGTGTTATGAAGTATGAAGTTAAGTCAGGGATTGAGACTGGGAATAAAGAAAAGTCAGGTATTGAAAGAAAGTTTTCCCTCTTCACACCAGTCACCAGATAGATTGCAACGCAACACAAAATGGAAAATTAGAGGCCGACGACATCCACCATTCCTGTTCCCAAGGCAATCCGGCTTTCTCCTCCAGGGGCGGTGAAGGTAGAGAAGCGCGTATACAGATTTTACCGGCGAAGAACAGAAGAAAGCATCTGTATGAAATCGATTACAGAAGCGAGCTTCAAACTGAACAAAGCCTAACTAGGGTTTCGGACTTCTCCCTCTCCCGCTTGCCCACTCAGGTGAATCCCTCTCTCTTCCTCTATCACGTTTTCCCTGAATTGGCCACTGCGTGGATTGTGTTTCGAATTCCATTGTTTCTTTTCAGCCCCAGTGATACAGTCTTCTGTTCCGCACGGCATTTGGTTTACGAATTAGTTCTGGGTTGTGATTGTATTTTTGAATTGGGTATTCAGGAACAGGCTAGTTTTTTTCTTTCTTTTTACTATGGAGATGCCCCCTTTAGTTCCTGCATAAGCTTCCATTCAGGGACATTCCAAATCTGAATTTGAGTTTCATGTACAGCACCAAGCCCTCATATGCCCCTATGTAGTTTTGTTGATATGGGTAAGTTTTAAGAAATAGGAGGTAGCCGGTTCCTTTTAGGATATATTTTGGGTAAAGACGTCACCTTTAGAATTGCAGTAGATGGTTGCTTGCTCTTAGTGCTGGGTTTTGTTAAATTTTCAAGAAACAGACCTCCCAAATGTTTGTTTTGGTGCAGAATATCCGGTTTTCAAAATGACTCCTGTATGCCCGTTTGTGAAAGCTGCTCGGCCTGACGATGCATCATCCAAAAAGCTTGGGGAAAGTCCGAACAAACATGGGTCTGAGAATGAGGGGAAGGCAAAGAAAGAGTCGAGTGATTCTGCCAGCGTCTCTCCTAAATGTCCCTTTGGATATGATTCCGGGACCTTCAAATTGGGTCCTCTCAGTTGTATGATCTGCCAAGCACTTCTCTTTGACTGTGCAAAGTGCATTCCTTGTTCTCATGTATACTGCAAGTAAGTTGAGAAAGCTGAACTGTTGCATTAAATGTCATAATTTATATTGCAAGTAGTTGGAGATACTCAACTGTCTGTTATTACTGATGCAGAGTCTGCATCTCGCGCTTCAAGGACTGTCCTTTGTGTGGAGCTGACATCGAGAAGACCGAAGCTGATACCGATCTTCAAAGTGTAGTTGATCGGTTCATTGAAGGTCATGCTAGAATCAAGAGGTCTAATACTGATGCAGATAAAGATGCAGGTGGAGATACAAAGATTGTGTATGAGGATGTGTCTTTGGAAAGAGGTGCTTTCTTGGTCCAACAAGCCATGAGGGTGAGCCTGGCTTCCTAACATGCTATGTTGTTTATTTTTTGACGTGACATTTAAAGTACCTGTTTTTACTTGGGTGAATATCTCTCATTGAATATGTGAGTCATTTGGAAGAGTCAATTTGAGTATCAAGTTATGGAGGTCTCCATGTCATGAAAAATGTTCCGTACGTAATTTTAGTCCTCTTTTCTGGACTTTGTCTTCTCAACAGTGCTCATTAAAATCACAGTTTCCTGCAATTTAGTATTGTGACATGATGGTTTCAGTAATTGTTTGATATCTTCATTCTTAGGCATTCCGTGCTCAAAATGTGGAAAGTGCCAAATCAAGACTCCGTCTTTGTGTTGATGACATCCGGGGACAGATAGAAATAATGGGCAATACATCCGAGTTGTGCTCACAACTTGGTGCAGTCCTCGGAACACTTGGTGACTGCTGGTTTGTCCTCTTAGTCTTCCCCATATTAAGAGATGACTGTTCATGTCACATGATTTTTCAGAAAAACCAAAACTATTAGCAATATATCTGCAAACTAGATAACGGTTTAGGGAAAATGACTCTGATCAAAGGAAAACTAGAAACCCTTCAGTTTGCGCCTGGGAACCAGAGTCTTGTAGTTCATAATTGTATTTAGTAACATAACCTTATCTCTATGCAGTCGGGCAACAGGAGATGCTAGTTCTGCCATTGATTATTTTGAAGAGAGTGTTGAGTTCCTTACCAAATTACCCACAGATAATCTGGAGGTACGCGATGGTCTATCTTTTTTGATTTATTTAGAATGAGTCTATTTCCTCCATCACAAATGTTAGATACTAACTAGCCGAAAGACTGCCAGAAAGCCAAAGTCGCCCCCCCCCCCCCCCCCCCCCCCAGCAACCGAAAGGCACAATAATCAATCCCAACTTCGGCATAGCATCATCATCAATGGTGATAGCAATCATCTTATTAAATCCATTTTCTGTACAGATCACACACACACTTTCTGTCTCTCTTAACAAAATTGGAGATCTGAAGTATTATGCTGGAGACATGGAAGCTGCAAGGTCGTTCTATTCGCGGTCACTTAATGTGCGTCGTGATGCCATGCAACATCATCCTAATGTCCCCTCCCAGGTAACCAGTCTGTGCTCAATATGTATGATTGGTTATTATTGAAGGTTGCGCTTGAGTACTTTGCATTCTTGGTGTGATAAACTCCTTTCAAGGAATATGCACCTGTTGATGGATTGTTTTCCAATTACTTGTGCTGTTGGATGACTATCTTACCATGTTATCCCCATTTGTAATGCGGATTATGTTCTATGCATTTGTATGTGCTCAAATCACATATACGGATTCCTGTTATGGACTATGGAGACGACTTGCTATCAATAGGAAACATTCTGAAACGATGACCAAATTACAGGTCTATTCATTTAAATGGAAGCTTATACTTTGGTATCATACGTATTGCTGTCTTCTAAAGAAAGTTGATACGTGTTGTGTTCTATTCTTCGTTATTATTCTTATATATTAAAGAGTCCCAACAGGGTTATGGATAGTAGGGGAATTTTATTTTTTGCTGGTGGCAATTTGAAGTAGAAGTCGCCTGTGTAACTTGCCGTACCATGTATAGAATTGTATTAGTAGCCGAATACCATTATCTTCAACACAGTGAGTATACTGCAGCTGGAATGACTGCAGTAAGTACCTCTTTTTCAGACAGTCGATATCAGACTTAATGTCTAGTGAATGTGCATGAGTTCTGTTTTAACACAGAAGGGTTGATTCAGCATGCAAGTTCTTGTGGAGTCCTAGCTTAGTGCTGAAAACCTGAGTGATTTTTCTTACTTGCTTCGTATTGATAATGGCAGACCCTAGACGTTGCTGTTTCCCTCGCAAAGGTTGCTGATGTTGACAGAAGCATAGGCAATGAAGATGCTGCTGCTGCTGGGTTTCAAGAGGCCATAAAATTGCTGAAGTCTTTGACATTAAAACCCGAAGAAGTTGGACTTGAGCAACGGGTAAGATTTTCAATGCAGTTTTTATGGTTGAATTTGTTTTTGTTTTATGGGTCCTGATACAGAAGATGGTTACCCTTGTTTCTATTCTGCAGCGGCTTTCAGTACTGGAATTTCTCAATAGTCAACTTGGAGGCTAGCACCAAGCCTCATGAAGTTGGATCAAAACCTCCTGCAGCTTGTTGTTTAGAACAAGACCAATGATGCCAGAATAATAACTCGCCCCCACTTCCGGATGTATATAGTATATACATGATTCTCCAAAAGAGACTGTGCCCTTATGAACACAGAACATCATCAGGCTTTCCCACATCATGCATAAAAGGATCTTAGCTACGTTTATCTGTTGCTGACGTCTTTGAGGCAAAGTTGTATACGGGAACTGGCTTTGATCAGCTGTTTGTTACTGTCAGAATGGATGTTGGTTCATGTTATTTCTTTCGTTTATGAGGTTCACTCTATTGCAAGTGTTCGGCAAATGCTTTATCCTCATGGCAACGCGTGCATGCTAATGATACGAGAAAATTAATAATTTTGCTACTGTATTAGATCAAGTTTCGTTGCGAATTTCTGCCCTTACTGAAATTCACCTTCCTCGCTATTTTAAGCGTCTTGTTTATCATGGAACTACATGTTTCATTTTTCTGACTTTTGCTATATATGAAGGGTAAATAAGAGTTTTATGGAACTTGAGAAGAGAAGTGATAAACAATGAGTCACAAAACTAAAGCTAGGTGCAGCGTACATTCTTTCTATCTCATCAAAAAACACATGATTTCTTAAAACCCATGTACTCCACAATGCATGGTAGTCCTAAGATTTTAATGAAATGTCTTGTGTTGACACAACAATTGTATTCAATGATCTAGAGAAACTAGTGATGAACAACTCAAAGGCAATCGACTAACCCACCCGAAAGAGGAGCTGGAGAAATCAACCCTATCTAAGTCCAGGGTTGATCTTCTGTACAACAACACTAGATTACCTTCGGTTCCTCTGTTACTACGGATTGTCCAACAAAGACATAAGGTCTTTGTCTCCACGCACCAACTTCACTTGCCCATCCAACTTTACAAACAATGACCACCTCATGTCCAACCTGAACTACCCATCAATCTCCATCGCCGGGCTGGCTCGACGCCGCAGCGGTCGAGGTGCCGCTGCCACCCAGACCATCACCAGAACAACGACCAATGTTGGACATGTCAACTCCACCTACCTTGCCACGATCCATGCTCCTAGTGGGTTGGGTGTCCAGGTTGTACCACCGAAATTGGTTTTTACCAAACATGTAGGGAGGTTAACTTTCAGAGTGGAATTTAATGAACTCTTCATTGCAATAATTATGGGTCCTTGACTTAGCCTGATGGTTGCCACCATTTGGTGTGCTTAGTATTTGCGGTGAATGTCAAATGATGAAATATTACGTGATCATGAAGAGTTGGGAGATGAGATTTTCTTTTCGTCTGTAATGTGATACTAGCATAAGCCCGCTCGCTATCGCTTCGCATTGAGCGAGAACATGATATTTTAAAGATTGATAGTTTGAATTTTCACGCAAAAGTAAAGAGGTTGTCATCTACAATTCCATATAGTCGCCGCAGCAATGAACTTTAATAAGGGAGAAAGATCATCGAGCAAATGATTTCTATATTTGATCTTCTCTCTAGTTTATCTTCTTTTTGCTTTGTTTTTTAAAGTTCATCTTGATTCTCCTTTTTTATTGATTTTCGGGATTAATAGCAAGTTTGAGAAAGTTCAACTCACTTTGGTCGGGTCGAATTAGGTTGAATAACCATTGGTTTAGGTTCAATTTCATTCTAAAAAAAGGAGAAATTAACTCAAACACTAAAGTGGATAAAGCTCGCTCACGACCCAAAATTCGGCAACTTCATGTTATACTCTCTTTGATCAGGTTGAAGTTGAACCGAGTTTGTAACAAATTCACAACCGACCCGACCCGCCAATTACAAAAGCAAATAAAACTCACTCCTGTTTGAAAACTTGTAAACATCGGGTTCAATTCATTTTGATCAGGTTGAATTAGCTAGGTTGGATACCCATAGGTTTGGTTATCAACCAAAAGGAAAAGGATAAATAAAACACCAAACTAAAGCGGATAAACTCGCTCCCTACCAAAAACTCTACACACCGAGTTCACTCGCATTGACTGGTTCGAACTAAGTTGTTAACCATTCACACTCGGCTCAACATGTCATATATAAAATCAGATAAAACTCGCTCTCTATACAAAACTTGTCAGCACCGGGTCCAGGTTCAATTGTCATTCTCAACCAAAAGAAAAAGGAGGAATAAAAAAAATATTAAAGCGGAGAAAACTTGCTCTCCATAAAAAACTCTTCAACACCGTGTTCAGCTCGCTTTGACCGGGTCGAATCGAGTTTTGAAGAAATTCACACTCGTTCCAACCTACCAATTAACTACAAAAGCATATAAAACTCGCTCTCAATACAAAACTCGTCAATACCATGGGTTTGAGTTCAATTATCATTCTCAACAAAGGAAAAAATAGAAATTTCAAAAATACTAAAATCGGGTTAAAATCGCTTTGACTTGGACGAATTATGTTGGATATCCATGAGTTTGAGTTTAATAATTATGGGTCCTTGACTTGGCGTGATGCTTGCCACCATTTGGTGTGCTTAGTATTTGCAGTGAATGTCAAATGATGAAATATTACGTCTTGTACGGATCATGAAGAGTTGCGACGTCGTTTGGAAGTTGTGATTTCAAATGGTGTATTGATCTAATTTATGTATTTGTGAGATTAAGTCGTTTTTTGGTTTATATAGAACTAGAATACATGCATTTACTTTTTGGTGGCCCCACCACAATCACTCAATATTGAGGGATTTACAATCTCTACTTTTTGTTGAGATTCTTCACAATCACTCAATACTAACTTTTTTTACCTTTGGAACAAAAACACGATCTAAACCTCCAAACAAGATATTTACCTAATACATCAATTGATTCAATCTATCAAATGATAATACACTAATTGTCCCAATACATCAATTTGAAGAATCACAACTTCCAAACAACCCCGAAATTTTCTTTTCGTCTGTAATGTGATATATTATGTTTGAATTTTTACTATATGGTGAATTTAAGTATGAACTATGGTGTAATATTATATGTTACTATCTATATGGTAAATGAAATTTGCAAGGTTGTCAATCAGTGGGCTAACTGGCACCCGGTCGAGCTACTGGATCAAGGGTTGATGGGTCATCTGTTTTAGCCCGTTTTAGCCCGGAAATATGGAAAGAGTCTTTATATTATACTTATCCTGATAAATTTTATCAAATCTCATCTAACATATGAGTTATAACAAATAATATACCAATAAAATAATATGTCGTACTTAGATCCAACATGTAGTGAAAATTCACACACTTATATAACATATATATTCAAATGTTCAACTTAGAATTCCAAAAATTGAGTTAGGCAAAAATAAAAATTGAAAAATACGCGCATTTCGCAAACAAAAAAAATGACACAATTTGACCTCGAACCCGATACCTTGTAGCGATCGACCCGATGGATCGTGCGGTCAATTTTTCTCATCGAGCGGCCAGGAACAATGTGGGTCGACCCGCAAGTAAACCCACGCGTTGACAACTTTAAAAATTTGATATAGGGGTCGTTTGGAAGTTGCGTATGTTAAATCGTTGTATTGTTATGAATTACTGTGATATAAATGCATGCATTGATACAATAGATGCATTTTGAAATTACATTGTTTGGTTGTTGAGATTATAATTTATGAATTGATTGTCATAAAGTTACTTTATAAGAAAATGTCATTTTTGTCCTCCACTTTTAATATAAAACAAAAAGAACTATGTACATAATTGGAAAAAGTAAAGGTGCTCAATTATTAAACCAACAATCACAACAATCACAACTTTTAGTTGAGATTGTACAATCCCTCATTTTTGTTGATTGTTGGTGGGACCCACACAAAACAATACATGCATTCTTTTGCAACTTGACATTTCCAAACGTTGTATTGTTGATAATGCATGTATTTAACAAATACAACACTAACAATCGCAACTTCCAAACGACCCCATAATATATGTACAATATAATGAATTCTTCCATATATTAGGACTAAACCAACTAAATCAAACTAAACCATTCAAACCATTAATTCTTAACTTACTTGCTCAGCCCGGTCAACCGGTTAGACAACCTGATTTATAGACACATGGAGCTACTTTTGAATAACAAATCTCTCTATCTTTCCACTTGCCAGTCTTTATTTCTAAGACAAACGAAACGGAAAACAACTACTGTAAAAATTGAAAAACTCTTCTCCTTCATCATTTCTCGCCTCCTCCAACTGGTTCGCTCTGCTCTTCCTGCATGCCCTTTCATATCCACGAAAGAGGTAAATCCAATCTCAACTCTCTTCATTTCTCCGGCTTTTGCTTAACTTCTGTTGTGGGGATATCTGGAACTACCCGTCTGGGCTCCCCGGGTGAAGATCTTGCATAAAGTTGATTTATTTTCTTCCATTTCTGGGGTTCTCTGGCTTTGAAATGAAAATTCTTTGCTTGTTGCAGGAAGGGTTTGTGGTAAAAAGGAAGAATTGCTTGTCGCCCGTGAATAATTTGTGAAAAAAGCCGAGGCGGCTTATCTCGCTGATCTCGGTTTCTTGTTTCGATCTGTGAATTTGGGGTTGTTCAGCGGGCGGTTTTCTTAATTGGATTTTGTTTGGTATTAGCAATGGAAGGAGGGTCAGGGGCCTTCAGTTATACTCCCGCTTCAGGTTCCATTGACAAATCAAGGGTTTTAGATGTGAAACCCCTTCGTACTTTGACCCCCGTGTTTCCATCCAATCCTCAAGGTCCTCCATTTGCATGTTCACCTCCTTTTGGTCCTTACCCACCCGGGTTTGCTCCATTTTACCCCTTCTCTCCACAACAAGGAGGCGGCCCTGAGCCCAATCAGGCACCCCAAACTCCAGCTGTGCCACTTCGTTCATTCCGAGCTCCTCAACCAAGCTCCCATGAGAATGGAACAGGTGGTGCTTCTCCCTCTGATCCTCCTAAGCGCGCTGGCCGTCGACCTGCCGTCCGGACCACACCTACTCCCAAAAGGGTAAAGAAGGGACCAGATGACTTTTTGCTGCCTATTCCTAATGATAGTGTTGTTTTGGGGATCACTGAGGCTCAAAAGGAAGACGGCGATAGAAGTACTGTTCTTAGTGTTCTGATGAGGTTTGAAGCTCTAAGGAGAAAGGTTAGCCAACTAGAGGATGTGAAGGACGCGCAGCATAATGGAAAAAGCAAGAGTGCTCATTTAAAAGCTAGCGCTATCCTAATGAGCAACAACATAAGGACCAACTCTAAGAAGAGAACTGGACATGTCCCTGGAGTGGAGATTGGTGACATCTTCTTCTTCCGGATGGAGATGTGTTTGGTTGGTTTGCATGGTCAGCCTATGGCTGGCATAGATTATATGATTGTAAGGAGTGATAGAGAGGATGAGCCTCTAGCTACGAGCATCGTTTCATCTGGTAACTATGATAATGCTGCAGATGATACGGATGTCCTTATCTATAGTGGTCATGGTGGAAGCTCCAACAAGAATAAGGAAGCATCCGATCAGAAGCTGGTGAGGGGTAATCTTGCATTGGAGAGGAGTCTACAGAAGGGGAATGAAGTCCGGGTCATTCGGGGCCTGAAAGATGCCAATGGTCCAGCAACAAAGGTTTATATATATGATGGACTTTATACAATTCAGGAATCATGGGTGGAGAAGGCGAAAACGGGTTGCAATATATTTAAGTATAAGATTGTTAGGATGTCTGGTCAACCTAGTGCCTTTTCTATCTGGAAATCTGTGGCGGAGTGGAAGGAGTCAGTTTCTTCGAGAGTGGGACTGATTTTGCCTGACCTCACTTCAGCAGCTGAAACTATACCGGTTTCGCTTGTGAATGATGTTGATGGAGAAAGAGGGCCTACTTGCTTCACGTATCTCGCTTCTGTTAGATATTCCAAGTCATTTAAATTATCTGATCAGCCTTCTTTAGGCTGCAACTGCCGTAATGCATGCCAATCAAGTGATGATAACTGCGCTTGCATGATAAAAAATGGGGGGCATTCCCCATATATTGGCAATGGAGTTCTCGTGTCTAGGAAGCCCTTAGTTTATGAATGTGGTCCTACATGTCCTTGCATAGCGAACTGCAAGAACCGTGTCTCTCAGACTGGTCTGAAAGTTCACTTGGAAGTTTTCAAAACAAAGGATAGGGGTTGGGGTCTAAGGTCATGGGACCCTATTCGTGCCGGCACTTTTATATGTGTTTATGCGGGTGAAGCAACAAACAAGGCTATTGATGGAGAAGAAGGCTATAGTGATGACTATGTCTTTGATACAACCCGGGTTTATGATTCGTTCAGGTGGAATTGTGAACCTGGGTTCGTAGAGGAGGATCTTAATGACACTAATGAGGAATATGATATCCCATATCCTCTTGTCATAAGTGCAAAAAATGTTGGAAATGTGGCCCGGTTCATGAATCACAGTTGTGAGCCAAACACATTCTGGCAACCTGTTGTGTATGAGAATAATGGTGAAGCCTATCTGAATGTTGCTTTCTTTGCAATGAGGCATATTTCACCTATGACAGAGTTGACATATGATTATGGGACGCCCCACACCGATGTTCCTGGGGGTAGCAATGGACAGGTTAGGAAGAAATGCTTATGTGGATCTACCAGATGCAAAGGCTATTTTGTCTGATTATATGTATTTTGATCAGAAACCCATTGTGTTGGTAGTCCTTCCGATAATAAGGTTAGTTACATCTTTTCCTATGTCCATTTTCATCCTTCATTTGTTGATGCTTGAAGAGTGAAGACAATACTCTGCGCTATGTTTATCATCTTGAGGCTGATGCCACACACAACCACTTGCATGGTTAGGTCTGGTAATGTATGTTTTGTGTTTGATTAACAACTTGCATATGTTTTGATAGTTATCTGATAAAGGACGGTGGTTATAGATTTTACTATATGGTTCAAGGGCATTGCCTATCTGTTGGAATAAGTCAGGAGGAATGGTTGCATAGGCAATTCAGTCGAGTAAAAACTTCCTAGATCCGTAGGTACCTGACAGTACACAAGATAGTCTACCTGACTTGAAAATTCAATGATTTTGTGTGGTGAAGAAAATTCAGTCTTCACAAACAATCATGCTTCAGTTTCCAATGTCTTAGTGATCAGCCTTTTTCCCTGGAGAATGTTCCGAGTTTCTGTGGTGCTGTGATCTCATTATGCATGCTTTTTATTTATTTATTTTTAACATTAGTTCTCAGTTAATTTCTGGTCTTCCTCTTCTTTTGCAATGCAGGATAACTTACTCAGGATGCGATATCTCTTAGGGTGATTTGACTGCTGTAGTCTATTATCAGTGAACCAACGAGCGATGCGGCATTGATCCATTACGCCATGACTACCTATGGGCTATGGTAGGAGCATTTTGTTGTCTTCGGTTCTAGTAAATCCTGCCTCTTACCTCAAAGAAGAGGTGTTTTGCTTGTAACATATGCTTAGGATCCAAGTCAGGAGGGAAGTTTGTGATGTTTAACCTTGAAGGTGAAGGACCAACTTAGGTGGAACTGGTGGAGCAAGGAACTGTACTATTTGTGTAAAACTGCATCGATTTTTTCCTCCCCTTGAACGTAGTGATAAGTGAAGTTACTAGGGTCTGCTGTGAGTAGACCATGGGATGTAAAACCATCTTATTTTAGGTTAACCCTCTTTTTCCATATCACATTTAGACCCAGCGGTCGAGAATTCGGCATTTCGGGCTTTGGTGCATAGTAAAATATGCTAACACAGCTTGAATTCCACTCCGCACACATCAATCACTTACATAAACATAGGACGATACTCCGTCTTCGTTCGAAGACTACGCGATTAGCATGTGTAACACGAGACGTGGGCTGTACTCCAGCTGGTGCAGCTCCGCCCAACATTAAGTTACCAAGTCCTTGTAGAATTGGTGAAGGATTAGGTTTTTCGGTTCTACTATAAATATCTACGTTGTCTTTTAGTTTAGTAAGTGAATTAGAATCCAGTTTAATTTGTTCGTATGAATTTTAGAAGTATAATCAATGTGGATTATCATTCTCTCAATGCATCAATTAGTGAAGTTGTCACGGAAAGTTCAATTTGTAGACTTGCCGGTGGTGAATTGGATAGACAACAAGTCGAACAAACTAGGTGGATCCTCTGACGCCTTAAGAAACGAAAGAAGGTAAGTCATATAGTTCAACCACCCATTCCACCCCCTCCACACAAACCTTATTTCCGCCTCTACTTTTGAAACTATCCCGGTAGTTTCTTCTTCACCTGTCGGAATATGATAGGAGAGGACCCTCAGCTATATTGAGCCGAGTTGACCTCAATGACGATTGCCACAGTTACACTTACATTGAGGCCTTCGCGACGACGAGGAGCTTGGAGGATTGAAGGGCCGAGTTTAGGACACCCTTTGCTGGCACCGACGACACTAGGACATGTGGGTTTCTTGCTCTAGTGCCAGCTCCAGCTCCAGCTCCAGCTTCATCTGAAGTGCTTTTTCGGAAACGAAAGTTGTTGGATCGATTAATTTATTCAAACCAAGAGAAGTTCACTTGTAGCTCTAGTCTTAAGACTAACAAGGACCAAGGAACTTGGGATGAAATGCTGCAAACAGCTTGTATTGAAGTCAAGAAGGGTGGCTATTAGTGAGCCTCATTTGGAAGGAGCAGCTAAGGGATTAGATTGCAATTGTCTCCCAGTTCAGGGAGGAGCTGCTTCTCTACACTGAGCAGTGAGCAATATAGCTTTTAGACACGAGTAGAATCTTTTTATCTATGTTTAGTTGCTTAATTTGAGTGTACACTTGGATGTAGTAACTTGTTGACAACCGTCTTGGTTTGTTGATGAGGCTCCTTCAAGCAACAGTCACTGCATGACATAAATAAGCGGATACTATCATCTTCATACAGTAAGTTATGCAGGATCTGATTACTTAAAACCGTAAACTAAGATAAACTCACTCTGAACTACATTTTTATGTCATTCGAAAACAATCAGCCTTCTCTCTTCATATTGCTACATCGACCCGCATATTAGCCAAACTGACCGACAAGTGAGCCCTTTTTGCCATCAAAGAAAATCAATCCATCCACACAGTTGTTCTTGTCCCCCCACCTACGGAGAAAACAGAAAATCATAAAACGGAGCCTACATCTTGGCAATGTTCATATTTGGCGGCACGACAGTATGGGATCGGAGAACCATCTCGAGTTAACTGCACTGCAGGCTGGTTTTTCTCCAAAGACAATCAAGCTTTGGCTTCCTCCGGAGAAGATTTACTGGTTCCTTCTTCCACCTTGGCTTCTGGTTTCTCGACTTCATCTTCTTCATCATCATCGTCGTCGTCATCTGCTCTCATAATAACGACAAAATCAGGGCATGCGATGAGAATTCACAAAACCCAGATGGACCGAAATGGGACACGAAGCAAACATACGGACATTGCTACGCAAAAGTGAGTAGAGGGGAAAAAATCACAGAATTGAAAGGTCATGAAGATAGGATTTTTACCTTCTGGCATGTTGAAATCTCCCATATCCGGCATCCCACCCATGCCTGGCATTCCTCCCATGCCCGGCATCCCACCCATGCCCGGCATTCCTCCCATGCCACCCATGCCCGGCATGCCTCCTCCCATGCCAAATTTCTGCAAGCAACCAAAATATTGCAATCAACAAGAATAAGGGACCCTGCTCAAGGCTGTGTTAAACTTAGATGACCGAAAGGTATGACTCCATTTATACCCAATATACCAATAGGATTTTTCTCCCATATGATCTACAACTTAATTCCTGAAGATGCTACCCTGACCTAAAACCAATCAGTAATTAAACCCCCCCTGGCTTAAAAAGTTGCAATCCAGAATCCCACCAACTTGAGTGCAGTAACTGGCAGGACCATGTAGCAACAAAAGCTTTCAACTCAGAAATATGGAACTTAGACATGTATTACACGGTTGCATAACCTTCAAACTTACCGAGAAATCCATGTCATCAAAGTTCATGCCACCAGGAGCACCACCTCCTACATCTGATCTCATAAGAGCAGGGGTACATCAGTAAAATGAGATACGACAAAATAAAATTCATGAATAGCTAAAGATCAAGGTACCAATTTGGTTTACCATTTTCCTCATCTTCGTCGACCCATTTATCCCAGTCAACTTTCAGGAATGCAGGAGTCTTTCCTTCTTGCTTAATAAGCCTAGGCCACCAATTACTCTCAGCTTTGACTATGATATATGCGATGTTTCTCGGGCCAACGACATATTTGCTCTCCTGTTAAAAGATACCAAGTTAGTACCTTGTTGTCTATTAGAAAGCTTAACATATTAGCAGTCACCCTAGGTACAAGTACCTCAACATTGACTTTGTCGAACAGTTCAAGATCTACGACATAGTCGGACCCATCTTTAACGGCTGATAATATAAACTTTCCCTCAGGTTCAAGCTTGAGTTTGACATCTTTAGCATCTGCTAAGTCCACAGTGAGATAAACTTTATCGCTTCTTTGTGCCCATTTCAAAATTGGGTGCCGGCTGCAACAGGTAAAAAATTATAAGAGATGTTAACACAATACTATTTCTATCCATTGTTGTAAAGTTGTTCATGCTATAACAACATGATGCAAGTATGCATAATAATAGAGAAGTGTACCTAAACGTTTGTAAAGGCAAACTTTGGGAGACAGTTAAAATTTATCATTGATTGCTAGCTTATCCACACAAAATAATTGAAAGAAGATACCATAAACATCTACTTCATTGAATCTATCTGTATTTTTTCCTGGTGCAAATTCTATCTGTATTTTAGTTAAGCAGTAACTGCTATTTTAATGCGAGTGAAGAGTTAAAATAGTGAACAAAGCAATCTCACAAAGACTGGACTTCACGGCATCTAAGTGCAGGTTAACATGCCAGGCAATTGGAGAATCATCATAAAAATGGACAACTAATCCCCGCTATCTAATATCTCGAAGTTAATACCTTAAAGAGGTTCCAGATTCTTCTGCTTGATCAAAATTAGATGTTGGCCCTACTTCTCTAGTAAGGGCGGGGTGTGGGCATCCTCTACGATATTTGTTCACACTCGACAGTCATACAACTGACTAGAATTCAACCCGACTCCTTTAATCCAGTCATGAACCCTAATCAGCTAGTCCTAAAATAGTAACCCCGAAAGCCTAATCTGCAGCAACAATTAAAGTTCTCTGCGACGAATCCAGCGCAACCCCCCTACCCTACCGAAACCTGGATCCTCCGCTCCAAATATTCAAACCCACAAACAATAGACCCCAAATGAGCCAATAACAATAATCTACAAGGTTAAACCACTGAAACACCAACCTAGTAATCTTTTTGAGTAGCGATACGGTCATGCTGATATCCCACCAACAGAACTGCTCACGCAAAACTTAACAACGGAAACCCTAAAACCCTTAGATTGACTATCTAAACGCAGAATTCCCATAAACCCCTCGATCTAACCAGCTTAAATTATCAAACTTTGGAGACGTGTTTTCATATAGAATATATACAAGCAGCTCCCCGATACATTACAGGATTACAGATACACACAGTTGGAAGCAATCAACACTAGCGATTAAAACAGAGAATGGTTGCCACAATAGAGCAAACGTAGGAAGCTATTACCTCATCCTGAGAATGATAAGACTGAAGGTTGCAGTTGGAATAGAGAGAAATAGCGGGCGAAAGGAAAGCTTGGAGTGTGGATGTGGGATCTGACGGCGGTTCTGTGCGGTAGCGGCAGGTCTTTCCTCTTTGCTTTATACTCTGCAGAAAAGACACCAAACACTGGGGTTGTGGATTGAAGATGTGTGCGAAGGGCAAGGAACTCGAGGCCGACCTGGAACATTCGGGAGAGAAAAACTCCCTGCTTTGCTTGGGACGCTGCGTTTCGGCTTCTTGATACATCAAACCAATGATTGAAATACTGGATTGCTAAATGTCGCCCTTAAAATTGCTAAATGTCGCCTTAACTTAGATGTCAAATTACCTGTATACCCTTAATAAAAAAATCAAAATTGAAAGAAACAAACAAGCCCTAAACCTATTCTCCTGCGTTCCCTTCCCTCTGCACCTCGCTCCATCGCGCCGAACTCCCGCGATCCCACCCGCGCAGCAGCCTTCGCCGGAGAAGAAGAAGGTAAAAAAAAAAAAAAAAAAATCGTGCCGACCGCGGTCAAACCGCGGTTAGACCGACGGTCAACCGCGGTCAACGCGCGGTTGAACCAACGGCTGACCGCGGTCAACCTGCGGTTGGACCATGGCTGGACCGCAAATCACCTGCGGTTGGACCATGGCTGGACCGCAAATGACCTGCGGTTGGACCATGGCTGGACCGCAGGTGATTTGCGGTCCAGCCATGGTCCAACCGCAGGTCATTTGCGGTCCAGCCATGGTCCAACCGCAGGTGATTTGCGGTCCATGGTCCAACCGCAGTTCATTTGCGGTCCAGCCATGGTCCAACCGCAGGTGATTTGCGGTTCCTTTTTTTTTTTTTTTCGTTTTTCAGTTAATGTATTTACCTCGTCGGAGTCGCTACTCCGACGATATCGGGTTCAAAATGACGATGATGGATTTTTCTCTCCTTAGATAGTGTTTTTTTAGTTCAAGTGGTGTTTGTTTGATAAAGGGAAGGTAAAGAAGCTAAGGGGGTAAAAGTGTAACTTTGATTCTTTTTAGGGCGACCTTTAGCAATTTTAAGGGCGACCTTTAGCAACTCCCTTGAAATATCGTACCGGAGGTCATACCGGAAAAGTAAGAGGTAGAGTATTTTATACTAAAATCGTGGTTTAACCATGATTCAACCGTATTATACTGCTAAATACCGCCTATCAATTTTGCTTCCGGTAAGAGATTTTCCAGGTCAAACCGCCGGTATTTTAATCCTTGCATCAAATCAATGTTGTAAAACCGGTTTAGACCGTTACATCGGTTCCGCGGCTGGTATGGTACAATTAGGGTATAATCTGTTTATGTACCGGTTTATATCGAATCAACATAACATATGAAGAAAGTGGTAAGCCATTAACACCATATTTAAATAAATTATCATATTATAAACAAAATTAATCATTTTGATCCGACCATTGGATATTGTCCATTTTATCCCTAAAACTTTTACAGTCACTAACACCAATTCCAACCAAAACCCTCACCCCAATCCACCACCACGTGTGTTTAATACCCTTGTTCTCAAGGAAAGCAACAAACATATCCAAAAACCAAATAATAGTTGCTCGGTTCACACCTTTCAAAACAATGTTCGAACGAGAGTGTTACATGAACAACAAGGATCTAAATTATATTACCTCTAGTCCTATGTAGGTTCATCTAGAGAGTTCCTGTACTACGTTATGATCTACTTCCACTCTAGAAAGGAGATTTTTGACAGAGAAGTTCTACGAACAAAAGGAAAAAGATAAGTTGTGACATACTATTTGATATTTGATTTTGCTATAACGAGCCCCTTGTTCTTTCAGATGTTTATACAAAATCCTCTTTTCGTAGTCCCAACAATCTCTTCGTCTTCTAGACCCTCATATTATGATCCAAAGTGCATCCATTTCATATCATTATCGTCATAAGACCTTGAATTTGTGTTATGAATGCTTCAAGTGTGTTTTAGCAACCCTATGATTGCATTTCCGAATTTGATGTGCTTTTGGTAGCGCTTTGTGCAATTTCAGGTTAAAGTAGGCTAGTGGATCACTTGGCAGTCGAAGGAGATATCGAGATCCAGTTGATGGAGCCTAGGTTCGACAAGTAGATGAGCTTAAAGAAATGACACCAAGAACACCTACCCATGAAGGAAAATATAGTTGTGCAACCGTTTTACGGAGCTGCTCTCCTTCGTCGGAAAGATGCCTAAGAGCTTCCTTATTCGCTGGCCACATGTTTGGAGGTTTCTGATTGGCTGGATGGCGTAGGAGCTATGAGTTTTGCTTCCCAGAAAACCCTATTCGAACACCTATAAATCAAGCTCTAAAGGGAAGGAGGAGACGAGAGGTTAATGAAAGGTCGTTACTTTGCCGACAAAGCAAACCACCTAACTTAGAGCGAAACCAACCTCAAGGGAGGAATCGACGCCATAAAGGGTGGCGAGGACCTGTTTTCTCTATTATGAACGCTGATTCTAGTGGTGTTCAGGGACTTTGTTTCGATCGATGATCGCCTAGAAACCCTTCCCCAAGTTGGCTAGTTCGTATAATTGCATAGGTATGTGAACCCTAGGGGATTCTAGTCATGTAAAACTCAATTTTTGGCTTAATACGATTGTTTTATTTCATATGTGTTGATGCTTGATTTCCTCTATTTGCTTATTTGTCGATTCGAATGATTGCTTAGTCGACCTTGCACTCCTTCGAGGTGCAAGGATCGAAATTCCAGTCGTGTAGGATTAAGACTTGAAATGGCAGTCCTACACGATCGATCTTCATTCGAGAATGGTGTGATGCCTCAAGGGAGAAATCCTTAGGGTCCTTGTGGCCCATTAGTTCGGGTAAATGCTTCGGCACAAGGTGAGATCTAACGGAATAAGAAATCAGCAAATCATATATTGCTAGATATCAAGGGATACGTGACTAAGAGGCCTAGGGAGAGCTTGCCTATGCAACACCTTCCTTCTCTCCTATCTCGTCCATCCAATTACCTTTAGATTTACTTTCCTACACTCAGTTTAATTTTTACTTTTGTTTTAAAAAAATTATTGGTGTCAAAACAGAACCCAACCCGACTAACCCGATCGTAACCCGAATTGACTAAAAGTCAATGGCCCGCAACCCCCCGGCCCGCAACCCGATTGACCCGTGACCAGATTAACGCGTAACTTGAATAACCCGCAACTCGATTGACCCACAACCCAATTAAACCCGTAATCCGATTGAACCGAAACCGATTGGCCCAAACCCGACTAACCCTCCCGATTGACCCGAATAATTACTATATTATATATTATATAAATTTTCAGAAAGAAAGTTTGTTTGTCGTAAGACTAAGAAACTGTTTTTTCATTTTATAAAGGAAAGTTCAAAAAATAATATTGAGTTGAAATTATTTGTTTTTAATAAAAGAAAGAAGATAAAGAAATAAGAGTGAGTTTTGATGCTTTGGTTCATAGGAGAAGAAAGAAGTGGGAAATTTTAGTGTTTTCAACTTTTTGGGGAAAAAAAGAGGGAAATGTGGTGCTTAAATTGTTGTGAAAAGAAAGAAGGGGGAGTTTTGGTGTTTTTGTTTATAGGAAGAGAAATAAGTGAGAAATATTGGTGTTTTCAATTTTTTGGAGAAAAAAGAAGAGAGAAATTTGGTGCTTCAAGTTTTGGGAAAAACAAGATGAGGGAATTTGGGTGCTTTGGTTTATATGAAGAGAAAGAAATGAGAAATTTTGTTGTTTTCAACTTTTTGAGAAAAAAAGAGGGAAATTTGGTGCTTCAAGTTTTGGTGATTTTGATTTATAAGAAAAGGGTGGGAAATTTTGATGTTTTTTATATATGGAAAGAAAAATTAGAGAAATTTTTTGTATTTTCATTTTTTTAAGAGAGAGAAGAGAGAAAACTTATCACAATGTTTACATATGATGGTTAAAAATTATTAAAAATATTTTAAATTAGTGTAATAAAATGTGTAAGTTGGTAGTGAGTAATGAGTAAGTAACTCGATGCGTTGTCCCGAACAACTCTCAATCCGATCCGCCCGCAACCTGCCCGGCCCTGAAATCTGATGAACTCGCAACCCGATTGAACCCGAACCCGATGAACCCACAACCCGACTAACCCGCAACCCGATTGAACCCAAACTCGATATAACCCGAACCGATAAACCTGCAACACAACGAACCCAAAACTCGACTAACTCGCAACTCGATTGAATCCGACCAGAACCCGCCCGATTGACACCTATAAAAAAAAATAGGAGCACCTCAACGTGGTATATTGTTTCAAATCAACTAGAACAATACCTCACCACTAAAGTAAGGGTTCTACGAGAGGCCATAGGGAAATACGTTCATGGTCTTATGGCTAGGTAAATTTAGTCTACTTACACGATTAGGACTAGAAGTTTGGTACCGGTATTTGGAATATACCGAATATCGTACCGAATTTGTCTATATTTGACAGCTGCAGCGACGCCGACGATAATCCTGTGGTGTTGGATGTCTCAATTAGAGCTTTCTTTCCTCTCTTAAAGCAATCATTAGCGAATTCACATGGGTCAGGGTTGGAAATAAGGAGGAAAGAGCTCCAGAGTATGAAAGGGAGTGCTAGCTTACACTTGGGTTGAAAGCGGTTAGTTTTAGATGATGTTTTTCTAATTTCGTGGATGGGAGTAGAAGAAAGATGGGGAAATAGAAATAGTGAAGTGGATTTTTTCTTCTTCTTCTTACGTGGCCCAGTCCATCATTTGATGGTTAGTTTAAACTGGATTGCTAAATGTCGCCCTTAAAATTGCTAAATGTCGCCCTAACTTAGATGTCAAATTACCTGTATACCCTTAATGAAAAAATCAAAATTGAAAGAAACAAACAAGCCCTAAACCTATTCTCCTGCGTTCCCTTCCCTCTGCACTTCGCTCCATCGCGCCGAACTCCCGCGATCCCACCCGCGCAGCAGCCTTCGCCGGAGAAGAAGGCTTCGTCGGAGAAGAAGAAGGTAAAAAAAAAAAAAAAACCGTGCCGACCGCGGTCAAACCGCGGTTAGACCGACGGTCAACCGCGGTCAACGCGCGGTTGAACCAACGGCTGACCGCGGTCAACCTGCGGTTGGACCATGGCTGGACCGCAAATCACCTGCGGTTGGACCATGGCTGGACCGCAGGTGATTTGCGGTCCAGCCATGGTCCAACCGCAGGTCATTTGCGGTCCAGCCATGGTCCAACCGCAGGTGATTTGCGGTCCATCCATGGTCCAACCGCAGTTCATTTGCGGTCCAGCCATGGTCCAACCGCAGGTGATTTGCGGTTCCTTTTTTTTTTTTTTTTTCGTTTTTCAGTTAATGTATTTACCTCGTCGGAGTCGCTACTCCGACGATATCGGCTTCAAAATGACGATGATGGATTTTTCTCTCCTTAGATAGTGTTTTTTTAGTTCAAGTGGTGTTTGTTTGATAAAGGGAAGGTAAAGAAGCTAAGGGGGTAAAAGTGTAACTTTGATTCTTTTTAGGGCGACCTTTAGCAATTTTAAGGGCGACCTTTAGCAACTCCCTAGTTAAATGGATGGAAAATTGGGTAAATGCACAATTCATTGAGTTTCATGGTATACGATGTCCAATTTTCACTTTAGTGGTACTCTCCTCCTAATTATCAAAATTTAATGATTTTTAAGATATTTTACCCTACAAAGTAGTTGCTATTACAAATGACAAAACTCGTAGAATACGACCTAGACAAAATTTAGAACTTATATATTACTTTGCAAGAATACAACATCTCGATCCGCATCAACCTTTCCTCTTGCCAATCAGTCTGCAGCCTGCACAACGGATTCCTGCTCCAACCTACGTGGACGAATCCGCCACCATTTAAGTATAGATATGTAAATTTTTTTTTTGGCACTCATGTATATACCTATTAGTCGGCTTAAACAACAGCAGCCAAAAGAAGAAGAAGAAAAAGAAAAAAAAAACCAAGGAACTTTGGTGGACAAGTGGAGCCTCTGCTATAAATGGCGGGGCACAAAACGGTGGTCCTGGTCCACATTGTAGTTTGACAATTGACCGGGCGGTCGGCTGGTTTTGCCTATTGGTAACCTGTTGAGGCAGGGCCGGCAGGTTGCTTATATATAAGCCGCAACCTTTCTCTCTAGTAGTAGTCTTCACCAAGGAAGGAAGGAAGACAGGATCGTTAGAAAAATGGCACTCAGTCCTGCTCGTTTCACTACTCTCAACATACTCTCCCGCCCCGCCGTCAATCATGCCTCCGCCGGTAAATCTCTTCCGTCGTATTCAATTTTCTTCTCAATTACGTTGAGTTATTGGGACCAATTGGTTTATAACAATCACCATCAGGTGATCCCACGACGAGGGGAAGAAACTCACGCCCCAATCTCCCGGAGGTGCAGCGAGAGATGATTAGGTGGAAGGAGGAAGGGCGAGTGGGGAAGATGAAGGAGTTGCTGCGGAAGGAAGTAGTGGAGCTGTCGGTTTCGCCCTACGACACCGCCTGGGTCGCCATGGTGGGCCTGGGCCGCGACCAGCAGCCTCGTTTCCCGCAATGCCTGAGATGGGTGGCGGAGAACCAGCAGGCGGACGGGTCGTGGGCTTCGCATCCAGCTGGAGCTGATCCGCTCCTGGTGAAGGACTCTCTCTCCTCCACGCTCGCCTCCGTCCTCGCTCTTCGCAGCTGGGGCGTCGCCGACGAACTCGTCCACCGAGGTGTGCATATTAGTTTATTACGCTGGCTCGCTCGCTCGTTTGATTTTTTAAATTATTATAACGACGCCAACTATACATTCCACATATTATTCGTTTCATGCAATTTGGTTTACTACGATTTCCGGCCTCTTACCGCTTAACTGCTATTTGTTTTGGTTTTTAATAATTTCCAGGGAATATTTATCACATAATATCAGTGCGCTCACTTTTTTATGTGCATTGAATGTAACTTTTAAAAGTAGTTTTAAGATATCGAATGCGAATTTCAATTGGTAGAATTAGTCTGATACGACTATATAACATAGGAAGTTAGGAACACAATTAATCAATTAATTATCGTAACTCCTGAACTTTAAATTTTGAACAGTAATCATGAATCCCAAATAATAACCACAAACCCTAACCCTAAATCCATAATCTCTAAACCCTTCAAATCAAAGTAAATCTTGAATTATATATGTATAAATTCATGCGTTTTCTTGTCCGTCATATATAAGTAACGATAGAAATTGTTTTACCAGGAATCGCCTGCTTAGAATCACGATTATGAGACGAGTGCATTGAATCACGATTAAAGTACTATAATAATTATTATACGTCATTAGCTATGTTGTAGTAGGTGCACGCATCATGTACTAAAATGGAGTTAATTCATTGTGGTTAAGTTAAATAGTACTTCTGGACCGCAAATTCACGTTCTTAATTACCCAAAAAACCCAATAATATTACATTATATGATAAATTGCAGGGTTGGACTTCATAAGATGTAACGCTTGGGCAGCCACGGACAAGAAGCAGCGCACCCCGATTGGGTACGACATCATATTCCCAGGGATGATGGAATCTGCCGCCGCGTTGGGCCTCAACCTCCCATTCCACCCTTCTGCCTTCCAGGCAATGCTTCAAAACCGAGACCTACTTCTTCAAAGGTAAAAACCCTCTATTATCTGATGCAAAACACTTATAGTAATTAGTTATATATATATTTTCAACCAGTAATTACATGATTAATTTTCTAAATCGATGGTTGATTGATTGGGAAATAAATAAATAAAAAAAAAGCAGCGAGTGGGCGTCCGGGAAGAGAGCCGACGTGGCATTTGCGGCAGAGGGATTGGCGACCACGACCAGATTCAACGGCGGCGGCGGCCAATGGCAGGAAGTGCTGCGGGAGCACCAAAGAAAGAACGGCTCTTTGTTTAATTCACCTTCCGCAACAGCTGCGGCTCTTCTCCATCTCCACGATGATCACAATTCCTTGGCCTATTTGGACTCCGTCCTCTCCGCCTACGACAACTCCCCAGCTGGTAACTTTTAGCAATTGTCTCCTTTTATTTAACGACTCATTCACCTTTTTTTTTTTTTACTTAATTAATACCGTTTTACTTTTTCTTTCTTCCTTTTGTTCATGTTTTGTTTTACTCATATGTATTATTCAACTTTGGTGGTTTGCAGTGCCGGCCATTTTCCCACTGGACTTGTTCAGTCGGCTGGACATGGTGGACAACGTCGTTAAACTTGGGATACAACAATATTTCAGGCGAGAGATTACGCTCATTCTTGACCACGTATACAAGTAATTACTTTCCCTTTTAGCGCGCCAAAACCAGAATCTAGAATAAGATGAATTAGAAATAAAAGAAAATCACAATAAATTATTAAAATTGAATTTTGGGGAGCAATCTATACTTATGGAAAAGAAAAAAAAACTCCTACGCTGTCACTCACTATAACTAATCTATATCAATATGTAAACAATTAGCATTATTTTGAGACTACAAATGCACTAACCATTTCTTTTCTCCCTTTTTCCTTTTTTGGCATGGATCAGATGTTGGATCCAGAGGGACGAGGAATTGTTCTCCGATATCGGTTGTCTGGCCAAGGGTTTCCGGCTCCTGCGTCTAAATGGATACCATGTCTCCTCCGGTAATATAATTAAGTCACCATATATATTAATTAGGATTAATAGTGAATACCAAATTCCAGGCTGATTAAGATTTGTTAATTAACTAATTAATTCACAAGTGTTCTCCGGTTAAATTTGGATGTGTTCAGAGGTATTCGAAGGACTTGACAGGAAAGAAGATTACTTCAAGAGCGTTCTCACTCAGTACAAAAGCAACGACACAATCTTGGAGCTGTACAAAGCTTCACTGATCACCACACTTCTCCCAAGCGAACCCATTCTCGACGGGATCAAGGATTGGACGAGCTCTTACCTCCGACAAACCTCATTATCGCACAACGACTCTGACCAGGACCAGAGGTTGGCCCAAGAGGTGAGATTGGTCATTAATTACAACCAAACAATATTGGTAAATTGGTCATTAATTCAATTTCAAATATTGTTGTTGAGTAAACTCATAGAAAAAAACCTCGTACAACCAAATATTCATGTTGCGGGGGGTATTCATTAAATCAGGTGGAGTATGCATTGAGGTTCGCGTATGCAAGTTTGGAACGGATCGAAAATAGGCTGAGCATAGAGACAGCTGACGTGGACAACCACGTCAAACTTCTCAAAACCTCGTACAGGTAATTAATTATCTATTATCCACGATGTGGACAACGACGTGAAACTTCTTAAATACATCTGTGGTGAGATTAAGCAAACTAAATTATGAGATGACATCATCGATTAGTGACACACTTATTCACTTTCATTTACCCTACCGCCCATGGAAACAAATCTAATATGGAGAAATATTGACTCACCTATCTTACCATGCATGATTAGTAAAATCAATTAGGCTCGTTGGAAAATATTTGACCTTCGGAACATAGTGTCAATTAATTAAATTTCTGCTCTTTTTTGTAGTCTCTCTAATGCAGGCAATAAAGATTGGCTGGAATTTGCAGTTGATGACTTTAACAAGTGCCAATCTCTGCAACGGAAGGAGCTTGAGGTTCTGGAAAGGTAAATAATCAGTTTTAAAATAATTATCTCTACAAATTAAATGCATTTTCATCCATCCAATTCCCATCATGTTGTAAAATTAAGGGTTTCATTCGTTATCAATCACGCAGGTGGGTGAAAGACTACAGAATAGAAGAGCTCAAGTTTGCAAGGCAGAAGGTGGCTTATGGATTTTTCGCGGCGGCCGCCATTCTTTTCTCGCCGGAGCACGCCGAGGCCAGGAGTTCATGGGCCAAGAACACCGTCCTCGTAACACTCGTTGACGATTTGTTTGATGTCGGCGGTTCCGAGGAAGAACTTCTCAACTTGATCGACCTGGTCAAAGCGTACGTATACTAGCTCTCTTTATATATATGGTGACGCCTTCGGTGCACTCATTTTTTTGATGCATTCAGTACACTCACTTCATAACCGTCACTTTAAACATACGATTTATGTCAAAATGATGTCAATCATCACTTATGATGTGATGAACAATAACGCACATGAATTTGCACAAAAACCATTAAAAATTTACTTTAATTTGAAGGATTTAGAGTTTAAAGATTTCGGGTTAGGGTTTACAGTTTGGGGTTTAGGGATAGAACTCAAAATTGGAGGTCTAGGGCTTAGGGTAATCCGCTAATTAGTTGTTATCATATGTTATATCATCATATTACACTAATTCTACAAATTAAAATTCAAAATTGGACACCTTAAAACTAGTTTTTGAATTAGGTGCATTGAACGCACTTTTTTTTTTTGTGCACCGAAGATTAATTTTTATACTAAATATATACATTGAGTTATTTTATTAAAGACAATTGATTTAATAATGCATGTAACTAATATTAATTTGTCCCCTCTTTCTTGTAACGACTTTGGCAAACCCAGGTGGCATGGGCACGAGTCGATAGGGTTCTGCTCCGAAAAAGTTGAGATCATTTTCAAGGCGGTTTACGACGCAACCAACGAGTACGTTGCCAAGGCTAGCCTAGTGCAGGGACGATGCGTCAAACATCACTTCATGGACATGGTACGCATGCATATTATGACATGATTCACAACAAATACTCACGCGTGCGTACTAGTAACTCGAGTTGTTTGAGAGAATAATACGTAATAATGTATGTATGCATGCATGGCATGCAGTGGCTTGTTCTGCTGGACTGCATGTGGCAAGAGTACGTTAGGGGAAGAGACCAGATAATTCCGACAATGGAAGAGTACATTGCGACAGGATACGTAAGCGTTGCATTGGGACCGGTCATCTTGGTGCCAATGTACTTCTTGGGATGCAACCTCTCCGAGAAAGCCATGCGAAGCAAAGAGTACGACGACCTGTTCATGCACGTCAGCGTAATAGCTCGACTCCTCAACGATCTCGCCACCATTGGGGTAATTAACTAAACCAACCATAATTAATCTTACATATATAAGGTCTGAAATGAAATGACTGATATTAATAAACAAATCTAATGATCGCAGCGAGAGATTGCTCAAGGGAAAGAAAACAGCTTGGCGTTGGGGATGATGCAAGGGAGCGGGAAGGTGACGGAGGAAGAGGCAAGACGAGAGATTCAGAGAATGATTGAGAAGCACAGGAAGGAGCTGCTGAGGATGGTGGTGTTGAAGGAAGGAGATGAAGGGAGCGTGGTGCCGAGAGCCGTGAAGGAAGTGTTTTGGCAGACGAGCAAGATCGTGCATATGTTCTACATGTCCAAAGATGGCTTCTCTTCGCCACACGAGATGGTGGCTGCGATTGATTCTGTCATTCACAAGCCCATAGTTCTGCCTCATCAACATCACCACCACCACGATTCGACATGATCGTGATCCGATAAATTAACCCTTACCGCTTGTACGTATGTATATGTATTATCTAACCAATCCAAGATGAATCCATGCCTCAATTTTCAAATCAATACATAAATAGTCATTTTTAAAGGGGCCATTGTATTTCCGTGTTGAGCCGGTAATAATTTCTTATGTTATTTCATTTGTAAGGTGGACGGGGCAGATGATGTATTCCAAGTGAGTAGAGAGCGCAGTAGGAAGACAAACACCACATAAAATTTCACAAAAATTGAGTTATTGAATCTAAAATTAAAGAATATAACTTACTCAACCGAAGAAAAAATAAAGCGAAAGAAATTCAAACCGACTGGTTGGTTTGCCTCCCAACAAGCGCTTCTTTCACGTCGTGCGTCGGACGGTGGTTCCTAAGTTTGGGTCCACCCCAGAACCTCCTTGAAGTTGAGGTTCTCGTCAGTGAGGTGGAGTCTCAAGTCACGAGCATGTGGTGTATCAGGTGATATAGGCTCGTGTACTTGACGTAGATGAAGTCTCTGTCAAGAACCAGCTGGTCCCAATAACTCGAGTTGTTGGGAGAGGTTCAATCGTGGATCATATACCACAACACTAACACGCCCCCTCAAATGAAAGCCACTCACAAGGGCTTGAAGTTTGCACAGGTCTGAAGACAAGAATACCATGTGCTTAACAAATGAGGGTCACCGGGAATCAAACACAAGACCTCTCGGTCAAAGAAGGCTATGATACCATGTCAAGAACCAGTTGGTCCCAATAACTCGAGTTGTTGGGAGAGGTTCAATCGTGGATCATATACCACAACACTAACAGTCTCCACCCTCGAGACCTCTTCTTCTCTCGTCTCATTGCCCCAAATCATATATGCCAGCATCGATTGACCATCATCGCGTCCACCAAGAGGGACCAATGTCGATGTGGTCTTGGTATGGCAACAAGACACTGCAAATGGGTATTTGCCAAGCAACTACTCGAAGTTTGGTGGAAATATTATATGTAACTCATGGTCGGTGCCAGCCTCTTCCACCTCAACTTCATTCTCCGCCTGAGCGCCTATTGCATCTTCAACCCCCCTTCCTTCCTCCACCTCAATTTCATCCTCCGCCTGGGCGCCTATTCCATCTTCAACCCCCTTTCCTTCATCAAAATTTGATTCCTCCCTTTGGAAAAGATCAAGAACTTCCTCTGCTTCACTTACGTCATCCTTCACTACTTCTTTCCTCATCCTTTCTCGCTCTTCTTCTTCTAGCACGGATTGGAGAGCAAGTCGCCATGTAATATTTTCAATAAGATCAGCTTGCATCTTCTTCTTCAACGCTCGGTGTGGGATGTGTAAAGGTATGGTCGGCTACAACAGGACATTCCTAATCATGATCATCACATGAGCTCTTCATGACAACTTCTGTCTGCTCCACAATGTCCTTCACTACAAAAGAATCATTTTCTGGTAACATGGTTTTGTGTGCAGACATAATGACAAAAAGTACAAGCCGTATTTATCGAGCGAAATTCAGTCCCATCTCGTTTAAAATAAACCCCCTTCGTTAATAATAATAAAAAAGACGGCTCAATATACGATGCATAATCCATGGTTATGCATTCATGATAACTAAATCTGGACCCTTCATTCAAAAAATCCAAATCTAAGAGTGGAAAATTAAAGTCATTTTTATTTTCCCTTATTTTCTTAATCGGCTCATATCTTCTTCGTTTTAACTCGGATTTTAATTTTTTTGCATAGATGGAACGAGTTCGTTGTGCTATACAAAATGTGATCCATTTTTAATATTTATTGAGAAAAAAAATTCTTGCCTCTCGTTACCAACTGCATACCATATGGTATCTTCTTCCTTTTGAAGTCATTTTGGAAATTTTTGCACAGAAGGAACAAGTTCATCATGATCTATTGGATCTACTAATTTCTGGGTGAACAAAATACACGACCAAAAAATACCACACAATACCACCCTGGTACGGGGTGGTATCTTGTGGTACAGAATTTTGAAAGTCGTAAATGACAGTTAGTATAATCCTACTATCATGTATTCAACCATCCTACAGTCGTAAATGACAGTTAGGATATCACAGCACATGTCGCTCCCAGTCCCACCTCTGCTCCGCTCTGCGATGCACCCAACCATAGCCAACATCTCGTCGGCCGTCGCCCATACTATGTTTTTGAAGAACTAAGAGAAACTCCTAAGTATCTAACATTGAACCCTCCCAACTGGTAACTATATCTGGCAGCTCGAATGTTTCTCTCTTCCTGATCTAAACCACCAAAGAAAAATTCACATTTGCTAGAATTTCACTTAAGCCCAAAAATCTTCTTCAATTAAGCTAATACTATCTGAAGTTCTTGAATGCCAAAATTTGAAGCATAAGAAAAGACTAACAGATCATCACCTAAGCACAAAGAGTTGATTGAACCTTCTTACACATTGGATGATAAGGAAAAATTTCAGCAGAGGTAGATTTATCTAACATACATGTGAAAATCTCTGTGACAATAGAAAACAGATAGGGAGAGAGAGAATCCCCTTGTTTGAAACCTTTCCTTGCTTGAAAATATCCAACCAATCCCCCATTAAGAATTGTAGCATTAACTACCCTAGGGACTCTATCATGCTCGAAACAAAATTGAATAGCAGATGTTACCTCAGAGCCAATAAGTGGTCAAACATATTGGAAAAAAGCAGCAAAAAAGCCATCCGGGCATGGACTTTTGCCTCCACCCATAAAGAGAACTTCCTTCATCTGATCGTCCGTGAATGGATCACAGAGTCCCTCAGTTTCCTCCTCAGTAAGTATCTAACAGTGAACCCTCCTAATTATCTAACGGCGACATCAACTACGTCGCCTGCGTCTATACCCACGAAGGGTACGGGTTCCACCGCTACGAGTTCGCGGCCTGGGAGTCGTACGAGGACAAGATGATGAAGAAGAGGGACGAGGAGATCCAGAAGCTCAAGGACGGCAGCGACAGGGAGAGCCTCACTGCAGAAGCAATAGTGGCGGATCTGAGGCAGGACATCGCCGAGAAGAACGCGCAACTGGAAGCGGCGTACAAGGAGATTGCGGCCTTGAAAGCATCAGTCGGCGAGTGAGTTAGTACAAGGAAGGAGATCACTTGCGCATCCTGAGATCATTACCAGGTTGCCATTCTAGTTTGATCTGGAGGCATTATATGGATTTCTGTTATGTAAGATTTCTGGTGTTTTGGAAGATTGGGTGAAGTTGTGTCATTGTGCATGGGTATATGTGTCATTGTGCGTGGTTGAATTAAATAAACTAATTCACTTTGAATTAAGCCGCAATTATACTTTTTTTTCCTACAAAATATCATACCAAGCATGTTCTCTTTATTCGTATTTCGAAAATCTAGTCTATTATATTATTGAAGGCAAGAGAGTCCACCGGCTATTTCTATTTGGCGTTTCTCTCCGGAACGCTTTACGAGGGAACATATTAGGTCAGTGATCTTATGGTGAGTAACCATGAGTAACCCGTCCACATCAACATCTTTCTCTCTCCTGGAAAGTCTTTAATTTTCCCCTCCTTAACCAATCCAAGATGTGCTGGCATATGTCTAGAAATTTCTCCCTTTCAACTTGTAACTGTTATTCTATGCCAACCAAAAAGACCCTTCTTGTAAAAGAATCAGCCATATGTGTAGGGTTGGCTATTTGGTCCGGGTTTTTTCAGTTTAACCCGAACCCGAACCGTAAAACCCCATACCGTTTGAGATCAGGACCGAATGTAAAACAATTCAATCTCGTCTTAGGTTCCGGAATTATTAAAAAACCCGGACCAATCCAGTCCGGTTAAAACAATGTTAACATTGGAAAACCGGATAATTCAAAACTGACCAAGACAGACAAAGCCCGCCCAGAACTAGAGGCAAAGCCCACCAGGCTCAGGTGAGTGCACTGCCACTCAGCCACTTCCCCCAGCGGCCCAGGCAAGCGTGTCGCTCTGTACTCTCCCTCTCCATTCCATCGCGTTGCGCGATGCCTCCAACTCCAATCCACTTCCTCCGAATCGCCTCCGACCGGCGACCCACCTTCTCTCGGCGACGTGACCTAGCTTCTCATCGTCGATCACCCTCCGCTCCGTCATATTCTTACAACACAGGTCACTCCCAGTCCCACCTCTGCTCCGCGATGCACCCGACCATAGCCAACATCTCGTCGGTCGTCGCCCTTATAATCCGATCCAATTCCATGTTGCTCCCACATCCAATCCCACCATCCTCTACTCCGCGATGCGACAGGACCCAACATCTCGTCGCCCTTCGCTCGTTGACCAGCAGGAAACAGCCACTAAACCCAGAAAGATGGAGGGAAGCAATAGAGTCAAAACAGGATTGGGAGCGGACGGAGTCAAAACTGGACCGTGTTAAAACCGGACTGTACTCAATCCAATATTTGGTCCCTATATTTCCAAAAAACTGGACTGAGACAGGGTCAATTTGGGCCAGTTTAACTGGACTGGACCGGATAGCCACCCCCTACATCAGATCATATTTGTCCTCAATTTAACACCACCATCAACCCCCCATCCCCACCCCCAAATAAATGACTACATATATGCTCCACCTCTTTTGATGACATATTTTGGCAACAAGAACACCGACATCCAAAATTGAGTTAAGCTATACAAAACAATGCAAACAAGTTCAATATGCTCTGAATAAGATAGTGCTTTCGCCTGCCAGCTTCTAACTCTTGCAACTAGCTTATAAATAAGAGGCTTACATGATGCCATACTAAGTTTTCAAGAACTAAGAGGAACTCCTAAGTATCTAACAGTGAACCCTCCCAACTGGTAACTGTATCTGGCAGCTCGAATATTTCTCTCTTCTCGATTTAAACCACCAAAGAAAATTTCACATTTGCTAGAATTTCACTTAAGCCCAAAAATCTTCTACAATTGAGCTAATACTCTCTGAAGTTCTTGAATGCCAAAATTTGAAGCATAAGAAAAGACTAACAAATCATCACCTAAGCACAAAGAGTTGATTGAACCTTCTTACACATTGGATGATAAGGAAAAATTCCAGCAGAGGCAGATTTATCTATCAGACCTGTGAAAATCTCTTTGGCAATAGAAAACAGATAGGGAGAGAGAGGATCCCCTTGTCTGAAACCTTTCCTTGCTTGAAAATATCCAACCAGTCCCCCATTAAAGCAAAAGCTGAACATTGGAGTTCCCACACAAATTTTAATCCAGTTAACAAATATATCCGAAAACCTCATACCCTTAAGAACTTGAAAAATAAAGTTCCAGTCAAACGAATCAAAAGCTTTCATAAGGCCAATCTTGAGAGCACATCTAGGAGAGGTATTTTGATGGGAGTATTTATTGACTAGCTTATGTGCTAATAAAATGTTCTCACCAATGAGTCTTCCTTTTACAAAAGCTGTCTGGTTCTTACTGATTAGGGAAGGAAGAAGAGGACTAAGTCTATTTGCTATGAGCTTGGATATGCATTTGTATAAGATATTGCAACAAGATATAGGTCGAAATTTTTTCATTTCATCAGGATTAGGGACTTTTGGGATAAGGGTAAGAATTGTAGCATTAACTGCCCTAGGGACTCTATCATGCTCGAAATAAAATGAATAGCAGATGTTACCTCAGAGCCAATAAGTGGCCAACATATTGGAAGAAAGCAGCAGAAAAGCCATCCGGGCCTGGACTTTTGCCTCCACCAATAAAGAGAACTTCCTTGATCTGATCGTCCGTGAATGGATCACAGAGTCCCTTAGTTTCTTCCTCGGTAAGTTTCCTTTTTAACTGGCCATCATAAAATTCATCAGTTTGTGCTTCTACTTCATAATCAGCAACTGCCAACAGCTTCTCATAGAATCTAATAGCAATTTGAGTCATCTCCTCAACATCCTAAATCCTTTCTCATCCTAAATTTGAGTCATCTTATGTTGCTCCTCTATTTCTTTGATCTTACAGTGCGACGAAAGTAGGTCGAATTCGTGTCACCTATTTTGAGCCAATTTTCTCTATGATTTTAGCCTTAAGAAACATTCCTCAGCATCCATCAATATCTTAAGCTCCTGCCCCAACCTCTTTTCACTCCCAAAAGTAGCAGATGAAGGAGTAAATAAAGCTTGCTGCTGAACCAAGTATAATTATATCTCATTCACCTTGACTCTTTCTCTGATATAAGAATGCTCCTCCCTGTTGAATTTCCTCAATAGATTCTTCAAAATTTTGAGCTTCTTGCAAACCCTTATCAGAGGATGACAAAAACCCTACTAAGCCTAGCCTCCTCCAGAAGCTCATCAAATCGAGGATGGTGAATCCAAAACTTAAAGAACTTGAACGGTTTAGCAAAAGATTTCAGGAACGCTTTTGTATCCACATATATTAGACAGTGATCTGAGACACGAGGGGATTGAAAACCCAGGACAAGCTATTTAACCTTGTCAACCAATCAAGATTGACTAAGACTCTATCCAGTCTCTTAGCAATAGGCCAAGCTAACTGATTATTCATCCAAGTAAACCCAGGACAGTGGCTTGGTGCTCTTCCAATTCAAGATCAATAATCCATTTATGAAATTGATGCATACTTGAATATGGCCTAGGGGAGTTAGAAGCTTCTGAAGGGTGCAGATATCATTAAAGTACCTAACACCGTCCAAGGGTTATGAATCACTTGAATTCGTCTCAACTCATTATAAAGCAAATGTCTAGAACTATCATTGAGGCATAAGCAACCGTAACAAAGAAAGGCTGAGTACCTCCTACCATAAACTGGATAAATTGATCTGAGGAATGAAGAACCGTGAGTTTGACATCCTTCTTCTAGGGTAACTAGATCTTCCCCAATCCTACTGAATTATGCTTAACTTTAACCTCCCAGTCTGGAAACCGCTTCACAAGTAGTTTGTTTGTCACACAGATTCTTATTGTGGGCTCTAAACTAGCAACTATATCTATATTATACTTGTTTATTTTCCTATAGTGACCAAACGTGAATTTTTGTAGTAAACTTAGTGACCAAACTTGCAATTTGCCCTTTATTTTTTTTTATATATACACAAAATTTAGAGAAGACTCTTAACCACACAAAATATATATTTTCTAATCCATCATTATTCTTAATCCATTCATATTTTTCGTTTAGTTGTATTAAATTTGCATAAAAAATTAGAGAAGACTCTTAACCTATTGCGACAGTTGTAATAGGTACATCTCATGGCATCTACAACAACGATGATTCAATGATGTCACTTTGAGGGTTCCACAGAAAGATAGATTGAGAAAAAATCCAACCTTACTTAATGCACTTCTCATGGTTATTTATACTGTTAGGCCTTCAAAAGAACAAGAGAAAAGAAAGCAAGCACGAACCAATGGCCCAGTTCGTAATACTTGCACTAGCATTATGAAAACCATCAAAAGTTAATTAAGTGACCATTTCGATGGTAAGACCAAGTTAAGTGACCATTTCGTTAAATACCCGTAATAATCATCCCTCCTCCACAATAAGGCCAGTTTATATTAGACAAATATTGCTGGCCGGCCGCAAGTTGGCGATGGATAGGCCAATAGCATTAACGCTGCTCTATTCTATAAATAAAATTTGGCAATCCAGACGCAGTAAACTCACCAAAACCAGCCCAGTCCTGTTTAGAGAGAGAGAGAGAGAGAGAGCATAAGCTTGAAAACAGAAACAACAATGGCGACGGTGGCCGGACTACCAAAGTACGTGGTGCTGAAGAACAAGTCCGTGGGGAAATACCTCCACTTCCTCTGGAACGACGAGTTCGGCGACTTCTACAAGGATCTCGGGTGCAAGCGCGACGTCGACGAGGTCAGCCCGTTCATCCAGCTGGAGGTGGTCCCCTCCGCCGCCGACCCGTCCCTCATCCACCTCCGCTGCTCCTACAACAGCAAGTTCCTCCAGCTCACCACCAAGTACGGCGTGTCGTGCATCTCCGCCACCGCCGACGCCGCCGACGAGGACAAGGCCAGGGCCACCTCCACGCTGTTCCAGCCCCTCTTCCCCGCCGGCGAGCCCGACACCGTCGGGTTCATGCACGTGCAGACCCAGTGCCACCTCCGGTATTTTTACAACGACGGCTACGGCGACATCAACTACGTCGCCTGCGTCTACGCCCACGAAGGCGACGGGTTCGACCGCTACGAGTTCGCGGCGTGGGAGTCGTACGCGGACAAGATGAGGAAGAAGAAGGACGAGGAGATCCAGAAGGACGGGGAGAGCCTCACCGCCGATGCGATGGTGGCAGATCTGAGGAAGGACATCGCCGAGCAGAACGCGCAGCTGGAGGCGGCGTATAAGGAGATTGCGGCCTTGAAAGCGGCAGCCGGCGGCGAGTGAGTTAGTACAAGGCTAGGAGACTTGTGCATCTGAGATCATTAATTACCAGGCTGCCATTATATGGGATCTCTGTTATGTATGTGTACTTACCCTTTTCATTTGATTTCTGGTGTTTTGGAAGATTGGGTGTGAAGTTGTGTCTTGTGCTGTGGGTATATGTGTCATTGTACAATGGTTGAATTAAAAATAAACTTATTTGAGTTAAACCTCATATTATGAGCACTTTTACTATGTTATAAATCATTTGTATTATAAAAAAATTTATACAAAATAGTATAGGTACAATTTGAAATTGTACCATAAAGACAAAAATCGATAGCACTAATACTCTATAACATTATAAAATTTCTTTCTACAAAATATCATACCAAGCATATTCTCTTTATTCGTATATCGAAATCGAGTCTATTATATTATTGAAGGCTAGAAAGTCCACCCATTTCTTTTTGTCGCTTCTCGCCGGAACTGCAGCTCCACGATGCTGCTACCTTTGTCTTGTCGGGTTCAATGAGCCTTCATAAATAGAGCAACACTTCCGGAGCAGCTGCCGCGAGAGAATCTTCTTTTGGATTGTTTGGGTTACGAATTTAGCTAATGAGGAATTTGGCTCACAATCACTCAATTAAAAATGTGATATTTTAAATCCAGAATTGGGTTAAATATATTGTTTGTTTAGGGATGGGAGATTCATTAGTTAGAGAATTTAATTCTGAAGCAATTGCCTAAATTACCGTCGACTTCGCCGGATTCTTCCTCGCCATTGCATCCTCCAAATCCATGGGTTTCGAGACCCACCACCCAGAGACGGCGGTGGGAACGCGAGACGGCGCATGGAGTTTGAAAACCCCAAAACCGACACTTGAAATTTCAGGAGGCGCTCCGTATGAAATTACCCTCCGCAACCACGCCAGAACCCTCCGCCGGAGACTCTCAACACAATTAACCAGTACTATTTGGATAATTTGGTTTGGTTAATTTGGATAATTGGTTTGGTTTGATTAAAGTTTTTTACCTTGTTTGGTTTAGGTGGTTTGGTTTGGTTTCAGACACTCCTAACCAGCCAAACTAAATTAACCAGATAAATAATTAACCATATATCTAATATATACACATACTTAATACTTTGAATAACCACTCAAGAGTTAAACGTTCATTCATTCAGACTCATAAAATATAAAGCTTGATATTGTTCCTATAATGTATATTTGTATATGTAGAGTGTAGACCACCATATATGAACACCTAATTTAGATAAATCTCATACATTATGTTGGATTAAAACTTGAAAGCAAGGTCATTTTCAACCTATGAAAATTGCTAAAAGACTAAGTCAATTCAAACAAACACAACAATTCATTAACCCATACCATTGTGATAAATTTTTGTTAGGTGAATACTTCTATACTAATCGTAAGATAATTGTCTTAGTTGCATGTATTTATGTTAAGGGTCAACTATAACTATGTGTTGATTATTATGTTTTATTCATTATATAAATTGTAAATTGATATATTAACCAAAAAATTTCTCATTTAATGATAATATAATTTATATTGGTTAATTTGGTTAACCAATTAACCAAACCGATGAAACTTTAGTTTGGTTAATTTGGTTGTTGTATTAGTTTGGACGGTTTGGTTATGATATTGTATTTCATGGTTAATAAAATTTAGTCTTATTTGGTTTGGTAATAACCATGGTAACCATTTGAACACCCCTAGCCGCCGTCGCGGGATTTTTTCGTGGAGCGCACACCTACAGTTGCAGTGGTACGACCGACGCTTGATACCGTGGTCAACGGCCGACAACGAGCCTTCGAAGACCTAGTTTAGGAAGAACATGTCCACCGCGGTCGATCCCGCAGCCATTGAAGCGAAGCTTCTGTTGTTGCTTCCTGCTTAATTCCATCTTTATTTCTCCTCCTTTCCAAATCGAAGAAAGGGAGATCGACGATTGAAAACAGATATTTCTAATTCTTGGGTGGGCCGAATTTAAAATTTTCGGAAGCCCAAATCCTACATTTTTTTAGAGTTATCCAATCAAAGAAATGTGTTAAATTCCTGGACGGGTGAGGAATTGGGCCAAATCCCTGCCCAATTTCCCTGATCCAAACGACCCTTTAAAGAAAGGGAATCAAGCTGAGAAAAAGGAATACAAACGGTTACACAGAACTTGTAAGGTTTCCTTCAAATAAGTAAACCATGTGTTTATACCCTTTATGATAATGACGGTGTGAAGTTGTAAAGGGCTTTCTACCCAAAAATTGCAATAAGGACATGTGATTTGCTTCCTACCAAACATGCATAATCATTCTTCACCATTAATAGTAATAATAATATCTAAATAGTATTCATTGCAAAAGTGTTTGGAATTGAATAAACCTGGATATGAAAATATATAAATTAAACCTTCTCGTAAACAATTTTCTAAGACGTCAACATATGTTGTATTACAGAAATTGCTTACTCTGTTCTGAGTATAGTTAAATAAGGAAATGAGAGAGACATGGCTAAAATATAATTATCATACCTCACAGCAACTACTAGATGTAATATATCATTATCCTTCCTTTATATAAAAATGAACAAATGTATAATATCGATATCATTTAATTGTTCTGGACACTTGGGAGAATGCATGTGGTGGTGGAGATGAAAGAACGTGGGAGCATGGTAACAATATTTATCTTTTTTTTTTATCAAATAACAATATTTATCTTCTATATATATGCATGTGGCAGTTATATTATATAAAGAATTAGGTACATTTTTTTTAATAAAGGGAGGCAAGACGTAGAGGGTTACAAGGAAGCTCTAAAGAGCAAACAGAAGCAGAAACACAAGGACAACAACAGTAAGAAGAAGAACTCTTAACTAGCTGGTCCCTGAATCAGTCTTGGGTCCGGATAACAATCCTGGGGAAGCTCATCCCCAAGGTATCTTCCGTGAAGATTCTCCCTAATTCACTAGGTGGGTTCGCCAGTTCTTGCATACCGAAGAGATAGACGAGACTGTGTTTCGAGAACCAGTCTGCGGCTCTATTCCCCTCTATGTATGTATGTACCAGCTATACCACCCAGTTTTGAGCCAAGAGACGTCTAATAGTAGTCAAGATCGTTGAGTGAGGATGGACAAGATCTTCTCTATTCCTTGTCAAATCAATGGCTAGCTTCGAGTCCGTTTCAAGAATGAGAAACTAGACACCATGATTGCGAGCCAAGATCAACCCTTGATGAATTCCCCATAGCTCCACGAGGATCGCCGAACCAGTGCCAATTTTGCAGCAGAATCCTCCTTTCCAATCGCCATTACTGTCTCGAAGAATCCCACTCGCCGTAGCTAATCCGGTGATGTCTTCAGCAACACTGTCCGAGTTCATCTTCATCCAGCCGTTTGGTGGAGCCACCCACCCCACCATCTGATCCATTCTCTTGGGTTTATTACTAACTTGCAGTTGTTGATCCGCGCGTTCACAAGTCTGAAGCCAGCTGGTCGCTTTAGTTCTAACATAGTTGATGAAGGATGATTCATCAAGTCTTTTCCCCTAAAAATAAAATCATTTATGTACTTCCATATATACCAGCACACAAGGGCAAAAAGACTCGGCCAATGCTCTTGTCCTCCATCACCCTCTGTATCTTTAAGGTTTATGCGGAACCAGTCAATATGGCCATTAGTGAAAAAGTTTGATGCTTCTATGCTGGAACCAGCCTTTCCCAGATCTTCCTAGCTGCTGGGCAGTCTCGGAGGCAATGGATGTTTGTTTCGATTGCGTCGATGCAAATGGGACATTTGTCGTCAGTTTTCAGATGTCGAACTTTGTGCTGACTGTTTGTAGAGAGCTTTTCCTTAGCAGCCAGCCAAATAAAGAACCTGACCCTTTCTGGACATTGCAGTTTCCAAATATGGCGCCACAAGGTTGAGTGTTGTTGGTCGAAATCTGGACAACAAGCTTTGTAGGCAGAGTTTGCGGTGAACAAACCGTTGGCGGTAGTCTTCCAAAAGAGGGTATCTTCGCTGTCTGATATGGGGTCCAGCATGGTTGTGCGGATTTTGTCTATGACTTCAGCAGGTAAAAAGTCTTCAAATTCATGCAGCTTCCAGCCATTATCTCCTTCTCAATAATCCGCTACATTCTTGTTTCTTTCATCCATGGGGATCTCTTGAGTGGCAGCCTCTATTAGAGGTACCTGCAAAACCCAAACATCCGTCCAAAATTTGGTTAGCTGTCCATTCTTAACATTGAGAGCTGCACCTTTGCGCAGAAGGGCAGTAGATTGAGCAAAGCTGTTCCAGGTAAAGGATCCTCCCTTTCTTTTACTGAGAAGCTGGAGTCTCTGTCTATTCCCTTCGTATTTGTTCATCAAAGCTTTAGCCCATAGAGTTGTATCCCCTGTAGCGATCTTCCAGGCACCTTTGGCTAGCATCACCTGATTGACCAGTCTTGTGGGTCGAATTCCAACTCCTCCTTGTTCCCTAGGAAGAGTGAGATCCCAAGCAACAAGGTGGAATTTAGTTTTCTCCTCCTCCTCTCCCCAAACAAACTGGCGGTTGATCCTGTCAAGATTTTTACAGATAGAAGCCGACAATTTTTCTGTAAACAGAATATATCGCCATGGAAGAAGATACTGAGTTCACTAGGGTGATCCGAGCTGCAACTGAGAGATGGTTAGCTTTCGAAGTTGTCAGTTTGCTTTGGATCCGAGAGATGAGCTGTTGGTATCTTTCTTTAGTAATCCTGCCATTGATAGCTAAAATGCCTAAGTAACGCCCTAGGTCGTTTGTTAGGTTGATCCCAGCTCTCGTACTCGGCCTCTAGGCCTTGTCTCTATGAACGTTCGGTGATACAAACATAACTGATTTGTGAAAATTCACTCTTTGGCATGAGCTTGAGTAAAATTCCTCCAAGCAAGTTCTTGTAATGTCCACCTGTCCACCTTCCGCCTCTGCAAACAAAATTAAGTCATCAGCGAAAAAAAGGTGGGAGAACTTTGGTCCATC